GGATGGACTGGTTGGATCTCCTTGCAGTCCAGGGGACTCTCAAGAGTCTTCTCCAACACCACAGTTCAAAGGCATCAGTTCTTTGGCGCTCAGCTTTCTTTATAGTCCAACTCTCACATCCATACATGACTACTGGAAAAACCATAGCTTTGACTAGATGGACCTTTGTTGACAAAGTAATGTCTCTGCTTTTTAATATGCTGTCTAAGTTGGTCAAAGCTTTTCTTCCAAGGAGCAAGTGTCTTTTAATTTCATGGCTGCAGTCACCATCTGCAGTGATTTTGGAGCCAAAAAAAAATAAAGTCTGCTACTGTTTCCACTGTTTCCCCATCTATTTGCTGTGAAGTGATGGGACCAGGTGCCATGATCTTAGTTTTCTGAATGTTGAGTTTTAAGCCAACTTTTTCACTCTCCTCTTTCACTTTCAACAAGAGGCTCTTTAGTTCTTCTTTACTTTCTGCCATAAGGGTGGTGTCATCTGCATATCTGAGGTTATTGATATTTCTCCCAGCAATCTTGATTCCAGCTTGTGCTTCATCCAGCCCAGTGTTTCTCATGATGTACTCTGCATGTAAGTTAAATAAGCAGGGTGACAACATACAGCCTTGACGTACTCCTTTACCTATTTGGAACCAGTCTGTTGTTCCATGTCCAGTTCTAACTGTTGCTTCCTAACCTGCATACAGATTTCTCAAGAGGCAGGTCAAGTGGTCTGGTATTCCCATCTCTTTAAGAATGTTCCACAGTTTGTTGTGATCTACACAAAGGCTTTGGCTTTGTGTCAAAAGATGTTTTTCTGGAACTCTCTTGCATTTTCAATGATCCAGCGGATATTGACAATTTGATCTCTGGTTCCTCTGCCTTTTCTAAAACCAGCTTGAACATCTGGAAGTTCACGGTTCACGTATTGTTGAAGCCTGGCTTGGAGAATTTTGAGCATTATTTTGCTAGTGTCTGAGATGAGTGCAATTGTGCGGTAGTTTGAGCATTCTTTGGCATTACCTTTTTTGGGATTGGAATGAAAACTGACCTTTTCCAGTCCTGTGGCCACTGCTGAGTTTTCCAAATTTCCTGGCATATTGAGTGCAGCACTTTCACAGCATCATCTTTTAGGATTTGAAATATTTAGTTTTTCTTAAAGTTTTTTTTTGATGTGGACCATTTTTTAAAGTCTTTATTGAATTTGTTACAATATTTTTCTTGTTTTCTGTTTTGCTTTTTTGACTGTGAGGCTTGTGGGATCTTAGCTAAGAACATGCAGTAGAGTTGCATATAAGAACATGTAAGGGCCATGGGGCAACTATTAAAGGTACAACATACATAATGGGAATGCCAGAAGGAAAAATGACTTTCACTTTCTCTGTGTCCACAGTATTCAACCAACCGCAGATCATGTAGTATTATGTGTATTTATTGAGAAAAATCCACATATAAGTAGACCTATGCTTTCAAAGCCATGTTGTTCAAGGGTCAACTGTATAATGAACTAGTAAAGATAAGTGTTTTCCTGAGTTATGTGAGCCATTCTGGCAAATTACAGTTGTGGGAACTCCTGATTTGTTGTCAGGTTGGACGGAAGTGTGGGCAGCCTGAGGACCCTCTGCTTGCGGTTGGTGTCTGAAGAGGGGGCAGTCCTGTGGGACTGAGCCCGTGACCTGTGGGTCTGGTGACAAATCCAGGTCGTGTCAGAGTCGAGTCTGGGACACTTGGTGTCTGAGGAGCTGGAGGAGGCCTTGGGGCCGGAGGTATTCGGTATGCAGCGAGAGGGAGTGTTCCCCTGCTAGACGTGTGCTGCTTTGGGCGGTGTGAGTACCTGTGATAACAAGACAACCCCAGACTCTCCCTCCCGTCGCTGCATGTGTCGCTGATGGCATGCACTTCACGTTTGTATAAGCCACATAATCTAAAGCATTGTTGCTAATGTTATTTTAAACAAACTTCCCTGTGAGATTAAGAACAATTTAAGTTTTTATTTTACCCTTACTTTTCCTCTCCCAGTGTTCTTCCTTCTGTATTATGTAGATCAGAGTTTCTGACCTACATCATTTAACTTCTCTCTAAGGAGCTTCTTCCAACATTTCTAGGTCTACAAGTGACGCGTTCCCTCAATTTTTGTTTCTCTGAGAACATTGTTTTTCCTTCACTTTGAAGAATAGTTTTCGCAGGGTATAGACTTCTTTTTTTTTTCTGGCTGCCTGCTGCCGCAGCGAAAAACCAGCAACACTGCAATGAATGGGCATAGACTTCTATGTTGATGGGTTTTTCTCTCAACACTCTACTGCTCTCTTCCTGCCTGCATGGTTTCGGAGAAGTCTGAAGTAAGTCTTATCTTTGTTTTTCTGAAAATCAAGTGCTACCTCTGGCTTCCTCCAGGGTTGTTTTTATCTTTGGTTTCTGTAGTTTGAATATGAGATGCCTAGTGTCATTTTTTGACGTTTATCCTGGCTGGTGTTCTCTGAGCTTCCTGGATCTGTGGTTTGGCCTGACACGAATTTCATTCATTATTGCTTCAGATATTTCTTCTGTTCCTTTCTTTTCCTTCTGGTATTCCAAATTATGCACATTGTACCTTTTATAGTTGCTCCCTGGCCCTTGCATGTTCTGTTCTGTGTTTATCAGTCGTTTTCCTGTTTCCTTTTCTGTTGGGAGCTTTCTGTTGATGTTATCTTCGAGCTCAGATTCTTCCCGGCTGTGTCAAGGCTGCTAATAAGCTCATCAGAAGCATCCTTTGGGAAAAAAAAAAAAAAGAAGCATCCTTCATTTCTATTACAGTGGTTTTTGCCTCTAGCATGTCCTTTTGTTCTTCCTTACAGTTTTTATCTCTCTGCTTACAGTGCCCATCTGTCTTTAAATGCTGTCTCGTTTTCCATTAGAGCCTTAGCATATTAACCATAGTTATTTTAAATTCCAGTCGGATAATTCCAACACCCTTGCCATGTCTGATCCTGGTGCTTGCTCTGTCTCTTCACGGTATTGTTGTCGCCTCTTAGCATGCCGTGCCACCTTTTCTTGGTAGAAGGCAGGGTGCCCCAGGCCTCCGGTGACGAGGCGGGGGCCCGCGCGCCTCGGCGGGGCCCCAGGCTTCAGTGTGTCTGCGCCTCTGGGCTGCGGCCCGCCCCTGGGTCTCTCAGGCAGACAGGGTGGCGGGGTAGGCTGGGGTGGTGTTCCTCTGCCCCACACTGGCAGTTAGGCTCAGAGGAACTCCGGCAGGTGAGGCTCTGGTTAACCAGTTTCCCCTGAGGGCAGGCCTTGTTGAGCAGTTCGCAGTGGTTCCTTGCCCCTCCCCTACTGGAGGCCCGAGGCGACTTTGCTCTGCTGTTTTCTGGGGAACCTGGTCAAGCACCTGGAGGAGAATCTCACAAGGCTGAGGGCCTGTGGCCTGTCCTTGGACTTTTCATGTCTCAGGCTTGTTCTTGAGCCTCCACACTTGGGGCCGTGGAGGCTTCCCTCTGTGGGCTTCGTTCCTGCACCCCCACCTCTCCACGGGCAGAGGTGAGCACTTCTCTCGTGGGTCTGAGAGCTGTTGACGTTTCAGGGTTTTCAGCATCCCTTGTTAGGACTAGTGGAGCCTTCCCAGCTCCCTCCTTGCTGGACCAGAAACAGCACGTCATCTCCGGCCTCCTGTTCTGTGGAGTCAGGGTCTGAATGAGTCCACATGTTGCTGGTGGCACTTGGTTTCTTCAGTCTCTCTTGAAAAACAAAAAACAACCAACTTTTATTATGAGAACGTACAAGACAGGTGGCAGAGGAGAGGAAGGTGGGGACCCGCCATCCTGCAGAGCCGATGAGCTCACACACGCCTGTCTGCCCCCACTAGGCCTCCCTGGGCAGCCACGCCCAGCATCCCGCTACGGCTTCAGTATTCCTCCCTAAAAAGACACAGACTGCTTTTAAACACAATGCAGTGTCCTGTCCCTGCCCCCAAATGCAGGGACAGTTCTTCAGTCTTTTCCTGTCCAGGTTGCTCCTGAAGGTGCTGAGTGGTGGGGGCTGGTGTGCTCTCGGGCCTCTTTTCTACAGCCCCTGTCGCCCTTTATCGGGGGACTGCATCGTCCCTGTGTCTGACAGCTGGGCTGCCCCCCACCCCCTGCGGTGTGGGAACCAGGGTGCAGGCCTCGCTCTTGGGCAGGAGGCGCGTGGCATCCATCTTTTTCTGTGGGTGTCGGCTGGCAGCCCCAATGTCCAGGCTTAGACTCCTGCCACCGCGGCTGTGCGTGGCTGGGACTAGTGATTCAGGTTCCTGTCCTCCTCCCAGGGGGCGCTGGTGGTAAAGAACCCACCTGCCAATGCAAGAGACGTAAGAGATGCAGGTTCAATCCCTGGGTGGGGAAGATCCCCTGGAGGAGGGCATGGCAACCCACTCCAGTATTCTTGCCTGGAGAATCCCATGGACAGAGGAGCCTGGCGGGCTATGGTCCATAGGGTTGCAAAGAGTCGGACACAACTGAAGCGACGTAGCATGCACGCACATCTCTTCAGAGGTGACTAGTGAGTTTTCTTGTTGTTTCTGTTCTACTGTCACTGTGAACTGTAAACACAGCTGGTATTTCCGCGCCCTTGGCACTCACTTTCCAGGTTTCTCTCCTGACAAGACCGTGGGTGTGCTCGTAGGTATGCTGTGAGGAGTATGCTGTGAAGAGCTGCCAGTGTAGCTAGTAGGGAAAAGGGCACCCGACCTGGACGCTTGCCAGTCAGGCCTGCACCATGCAGTCAGCAAGTCACCTTTCTCGCAACAGTGATGTCCTCTCTCCCTTACGTGACATCACAATAATGCTGGTGTGCACTTCTGTTTTCTGCTGTGTCACACTGAAGTTTGTCCGTCCTGTGCCAATGTTACCAGCTTGTCGCCAATGGCACCCTCCAGGCCTGTCTCCACGGGTGGCCCTCCGAGGGCTGGCGCTACCCTGTGACTGCGTGTCTCTGCCTGGGGGGCCATGTCAGCCTCCACATAAGCTTGTCTCTCTCTGCTCCCTGTCCTGACCCTGTGTTTCCGTTCCTAGGACCCTTCTCTGTTAGATGGCCGGGTGACGCTTGTCCACGTTGCAGGGGGCACGGTGGTGTTGAGGCAGGGAGACCAGGTGAGGGAAGGCAGAGTCTGCGAGAGTGGTCCACCCAGGACTGGCAGTGCGCGGAGCTCAGAGGAGGCAGCCTCAGTGTGGCCCTCTAGACCCAGTGGACACGCGACGTGCGGTCCGCGGTCACTGAGCGCGGATGGGCTCTTGCCCCCAGGCCTGTGCAGCCACCTGCAGGCCTGTTGACAGTCAGCGAGCCTGCCCTCTTTCTGGGTGGCTTGGTCCAGCCCAGCATGGGCGTGTTCCCTGCACATGCACGTTGCTGTGACCAGTCTCACTCAGGAAGTCAGGTACAGGAGGAAGCACTGTGTTTGCTCAGTCCTCAAACCTAATATAGATGAAAAATAATTTTGTTTCTCATAAATGAATGTGCAGCATTCATTCATCCTGCCAGTGCAGCAGATGCAAGAGATCTGGGCTCAGTAGTCCCTGGGTCGGGAGGAGCCCCTGGAGCAGGAAGTGGCAACCATTCCAGTATTCTTGCCTGGAAAATCCTATGGACAGAGGAGCTTGGCGGGCTACAGTCCATGGGCTGCAAAGTGTCAGACACGACTGAGCGAGCACAGATGCATGTAGTTTCTGATCCCCGGAGCCCTGCTCTGCTGGGCGGCAGAGACCATCTCTCCAGCCTCCTGTGGTGAGGGCCACCTTCCCCAGCCCTGTACCAGCTGGGAGCAGGAGTCCTTCGTCTGCTGGTTGAGCAGCAGTGGTGAGAAGGGCCTTCCTTGCTGAGCAAGCAGGCCGAGCTGGGTCCCCTTCCTGTACGGGCTTTCCCTGGAGCACGGCCACCCGGGCCAGCGCTGAGGAGCCAGACCACCTAGCAGCCCTGGGGGGCTGGGCCGGGGGCGAGGAGAGTCAGCCTGGTGGGGACCCTCCCGGTCCTCTTCCCCTCCCCTCTGTCCTTTCTCCTGTTTTCTGGGCACAAGACAGGGGAAAGGCCTGTCCTTTTCCTGAGGGAGGCGGGCTGCTAGCTGGCTTCTGGCCCCCGGCCATTGGGCCCTGTGGGAAAGCCTGTCCTGGGCCTTCCACAGCACCCAGCACCCCCTACCCCCAAGAGGCTGCGCTGGAGCAGGGGCTGCCTCCGCCTGCCCCCAGCCCCTAGAGCCCTGTGGGGCCTGGCACAGGCTGCTTTCATTTTTTCCACTTCTGACACTGACCCTTTTCTGCTCAGATCAGGGAGAGGGGTCTCACAGGGCGGGGTGAGCAGATGAGGAAGGGTCCTGACAGGGCTTGCATCAGACTGGCTTCACAGGCACATCTGCGAATGCTGGGCCCTGAGAGTGTGTGCTGTGTGCCAGGGCGGGGTGGGGCGGGGGCGGTAGTGCAGGCTTTCGGGGGCGAGCTCGTGTCTCCGCTTGGCGCAGTGCTGAGCTGTTGGCATGTTTGTGTGGAGCAACTCGATGTGTAGGTGCCTCCGGGGCTGGGTGGTGATGAGTGACAGGACATTCCCAGTGAGTCTGGGCCTGGGGCCGGTTACGTGAACCATGCAGGTGAAGGTAGGGTGGCAGCCTGCCCACTGCTGGCCCCGGGCTCGGGAGCTCTGCCAGCTCCGCCAGTGCCTGTGTTTTGTCAGGACACGAGTATCCTCTTCGTGGTCTCGGGGCTGCTGCACGTGTACCAACGGAAGATTGACAGCGAGGAGGACACGTTCCTGTTCATGGCACGGCCCGGTGAGATGGTGGGCCAGCTGGCGGTGCTCACGGGCGAGCCCCTCATCTTCACCATCAGGGCCAACCGGGACTGCAGCTTCCTGTCCATCTCCAAGGCGCACTTCTACGAGTGAGTGCCCCCGCTGGCCACTGCTCCTGCGTGGCTCCCCCGTGGCCCTCTGAGCTTGTCTGTAGTGCGCATGCACGTCTCCACATGGGCCCACGGGCCTGCTTATGATTGTGTCTGTGCTGTGCACATATGTGTGCGTGTACTTGTGTGTCTGCGTGTGTCCCTGTAGGCGTCCGCATGTGTGCACTCACAGTGGCGCCTTGGCTGATGTCCTGAGGGACCCTGTGCTCTAGTCCCTTCCCTCTGGAGGTGAGGCTCATGTCAGCTGCTGTCTTATCATCCCCTGGGATCCTCAGGGGCTCCCACACGTCACCCAAAGCAGAACTTTATGTTTCCCTGACCTGCCCCTGCTCCTGCCTTAGTCGTCTCAGAGACTGGTGACTTCATCTGCCCATTGGTTGGCCCAGTCCCAAGCCCCCCAAGCCCTGCACTCTCTGTGGCCCAGTCCAGCCGGTGCTGCCCTCCAGAGGCCTCCACACCATAGCGGGCACACGTTTGGCTCCACACCCCCAGCCTGGTTCACACTGGCATCAGGAGACAGTGGCTGACATTTCTGCTGGACCCAGTGGCTTTCCGGGCTCCAAGCCTCCACAGTCTCTGCCACTGACCCTCAGCCGTGCCCTCCCCTGTGCATCCCCACTGCTCTAGTCTTCTGGCACATCCTGGGGGATTGGGGTTTTGACCCACTGCCAGGACTGGGTCCTTACACATGGCATGTGCTACCAGGACACTGTGGGCGGTGATGACCACTGTGGAGGGGCTCCAACAGTCCTCCCAGGGTCGCTGGCCACTGGGCATACTCAGGGGGCAGGGGAGCAGGTAGCTGACCGGGGTCTGTGCTCCAGCCTCACCCTTGGCTCAGTGGGCCTCGTGATAAGTGGGGGTGGGGGGCACCTGCGGCCTGGAGTGAAGGGGTGGAGCCTGGCGGGACTGGCTGGGGAGCTGGGGCAGGGAATGACTCCGGGATGCCCGGCAGCATCATGCGGAGGCAGCCGGCTGTGGTCCTGAGCGTGGCGCACACCGTGGTGAGGCGGGTGTCGTCCTTCGTGCGGCAGATCGACTTCGCCCTCGACTGGATGGAGGTGGAGGCCGGGCGCGCCATATACAGGTGAGGCCCGCCTTCTGGCCACAGGCACAGAGGAGGGCAGCTTTGCTCTGCCTTGGGGGTGACAAAGGCAGAGGCCTCGCTGCTGCCTCCTGGCTTCCTTGCCCACACTGTGCTCAGACACGCTCCTTCTTCACTGGCACAGTCTTCCACAGGGCCCAGCGGGGCTGCGTGGAAACAGCATCCCCGAAGGTGTGTGTGTGCCAGGTGCGGGCTCAGATGGGCAGCTTCAGGCCGGTGTCCTAACGGCTGAATTCAGGCGTCCACGCTTGCTGGGTCAGACCTGGCTTAGAGCTACCAGTTTTCACGGTTTTAAAAATTAAGATAAATCATTATTTAAAGTCATTTATTTAAAAATCACAATAAACCCTTTACATGTTAGTATACATGTTTTTCAATGGAAAATAACGATTTTCCAAAACAAATAAATGTAGTGAGAAGAATAGATTCCTTTTTCTGTTTCGCTGCTCCTAGTGGCCAAAGGCTTCCGGCCAGGTGCCCCGCCCGCCCCCACAGCCTCTGTCCCGCAGGCAGGGAGACAAGTCCGACTGCACCTACATCGTGCTCAGCGGCCGCCTGCGCGCTGTTATCCAGAAGGACGATGGCAAGAAGCGCCTGGCTGGCGAGTACGGCCGCGGAGACCTCGTGGGCGTGGTAGGGCCGCCCCGCCCTCCCCTGCCCTCCCCTGCCCTCCCCACACCACGCCCCGCCCCACCCCTTCCCCCCACGCTCCGCCCCCTTCCCTCCCACTCTCCTCCTCCCTACCCTTTCTGTCCCGCCCTTCCCCCTTACCGCCCCGCCCCACCCCGCCCACACCAAGTCCCCTCCCCTTCCCGCCCCTCCCCCACCCCCTCCCTTCCCTGCCCCTCTCCCTACACCTGGTGCCCAGCCCCTCACATCCTTTCCCTTCCCGCCTCGGGCACCCACCTGGGCAGAGGCACAGGCAGTAGAATAGCCCAGGAGTTGCCTCCCACAGGCCGCCTCGCAGGAGAGCAGGCCTAGGGTGGGTTCGGCAGCCACCTCTGGGAGGATGGTCCCTCTGAGACCCCGAGGCCCTCACGGGGAGCATGAGGCCCTGCCCTATCTGGGCTGCTGGTGGCAGGCCCACAACTCTTGCTGATGCTTCCTTCCCCAGCGCAGGGTGCTGGGTGAGCCCCGTTTCCTCCTGCTCTAATGGTGGCGCTAGGACCCTGCTCTCAGGCCTGCTTCTGGGCCCTGGGGCCAGCCTGTAGCCAAAGCATCAGCTCCCGCCTGTCCCCAGGTGGAGACGCTCACCCGCCAGGCCAGGGCGACCACAGTGCATGCCATTCGGGACTCAGAGCTGGCCAAGCTTCCGGAAGGAGCCCTGAACTCCATCAAGCGCCAGTACCCGCAGGTGAGGGCTGGGAAGTTGTGAAGTCAGAATGCCAGAACTGGGTCAAGACCAAGACTGCTCCCATCAGGCAGGCTGCAGGAGGAGGGCCAGACCCTGTTTCCCCAGGCAGCAGTCCCCACCGGCTTCAGGGCAGGACTGCAGTGCCCCGGCAGTCAGCCAGGAGGCGGAATGAGGGCAGCCTGCCCTGCTTCTGGTTTTCTGATGTCACTTTCCTGCTTCTGAGTCATGAGAATGTAGACAGGGAAATGGAGAGCCTGCACCTTAGCGGTTTGGAGGAAGAGGCAGGGCTGCTACTGGAGAGTCACAGGAGTGGCCCCTCTGAAGGCTCAGGCCTGATCCATCCCCGTGAGCCCGTGTGTGAACAAATGAAGCAGCCCCCAGGTTATTTATGAAGTTAATGTGACTTTAATACCAAAACTTGATAAAAATAACACAGAAAACGGATCATTTCTTTTAGTACCATAGTTAGAGCAGATCAACTATTAATGCAATAAATATGTGTGATTGGGGTAGGCTGACAACAGCCTTTCTTCAAAACTGATTCTGTACAGCATGCAAGAACCAGAAAAGCAGGTTTCCTGTACAGTACCTCCTCTGCCATCTTGAAAAATGTAGCAATTAGAACACTTTCAACTCACTTTATCCACATGCAAAAGCATTTAGAAGTAAATTATACATATTTTGATATTTCAACTTTATTTACTTGAGTCTGCAACTCAAAAAAATTAGAATTAATATAGCCAAAATAGCATTATTATATTTAAAAGGTAATTCTTCCTGGACATCATGTAATACCAGCCAATGTCTGGCCAGAGCCGGCAGTCAGCACCACACAATGACCCTTGGCTCTGTGGAGGCCCCTCGTGGTCTGCCTTCGAGGGTTGTGGCTTCCCTATTTGTCCTGTGTTTCCTGCCTGGGGAAGACAGGGGGTGGCCAGCCGGGGCAAGGTCACAGACCATGTGCCTGCCCACCCGCCTGTGACCAGACCGTGGCCGCATCACCATCCACTGCCCGGAGCAGTTTACAGCCGAGGCAGTTTTGAGACCATGGGTCTAATGTGCTTGGTTTTATGGTTTACAGTGTGTGGTTAAGGTCTCTATTCTTTCTCTGCCCCCAGGTTGTGACTCGACTGATTCGCCTCTTGGGCGAGAAGATCCTGGGCAGCCTCCAGCAGGGAGCTGCGGCAGGTGCGTGCCCAGGCCTGGCACCTGGGAGCCCCGCCCACCCCGCCTGGAGCCCCTGCTTACCTTGAAGCGCCCCTTCACACAGTGTTAGTTAGGACTTTTTTTCAGCTGTCAGACGGGGTGTTTGAAACTATTCCTGGTGTTCCAGGCTTCCTCCTGGTGTCCTCTCCTTTCTGTGTAAAGAGTTCCTTTAACAATGGTCCTTAAATTCTCTGAGTTTTTCTGCATCAAAGGCTGTCTTTAAATTGCTTTTGTTCTGAAGGATACATATTGCTGGATGTGCCATTCTGTCTTAACAGCCCTTTTATTTCAGCACTTTAAGCATTTTGTGCCGCTTCCCTCTGACCTCCATTGTGTCTAATGAGAAATCCAGACCGAATTGCTCTCAAGTAGGCGTGCATTGTTTCTGTCTGACTGTGTTCAAGATTTTCCCTCATCTTCAGTGTTTAGAAATTTGATTCTGGAACGTTTGGGCATGAATTCCTTTGAGTTTATCTTGTTTGGGGGTTTGCTCATCTTCCTGAATCTGCAGGTTTATTTTATATATATGTATGTATGTATGTTTTTACAACGTTTGGGAAGGTCTCAGCCTTTATTTCTTCAAATACTCTCATGGCCCTGTACTCTTTCTTCTTTTCTGGAAACTCAGACACAGATGTTATTATCTTGTTATCAGCCCCAAAGGCTCTGGGACATTGCTTGTGTTTTAACTTTTTCTCCTCTGATGCTCAGATCAAGTAGCTTCTTTTGATCTGTCTTCAAGGTCTTTGGCTCTTTCCTGTCTTCTTGACTCTGCTTCTAACCCCACCCAGAAAGGTTTTTGTTTCAGTTATTTTATTTCTACGTTTGCTTCAAGGCTACCCATGATGGCTGTTTCTGGTTAGCTATGAACCACTGTTTTAATACCTTGTCAGGGACTTCCAGATTCTGTGCCCTGTTGTCATTTTTGTCTTCATTAATTGTCTTCTCCTGTTCAAGTTGAGATCTTCCTGGCCTTTGGTATGCCTGGTCATTTTGGATTGTATCCCATATTTCGGGTATTATGATGATCTGGATCCCTTTTAAATCTCTTACTTTTGCATATTCTGAGTGTATTCAGAGCACGTCCTGGCCCTCTTCCTGGCTGCATCTGAGTGCTAGCCTAGTTCCTGAGGCCTCTGCCTCACTGCGCTGGTCTGCTGCACTTGTGTGCTCCCCAGAGCCGGTGTGAAGGCCAGCGGGTGCACCACCACCTTCTGTTCTCAGAGCCTCTGCTGTGTGGTTCTGGCCAGTCTCACACATGGGCTGCTTGGGGGTGAGCCCAGGACTTTACCCAGGGTTTAGGGGACTCTGTTCCCCATATCCTCCTCTCTGGACAGGGTGCTGCTTCTGCTTGCTAGTGCTGCTCTTGGAGAGCTGGGGCTCCATCCTCTGGGTCTACAGCCCAGGCAGGGTGTGCTTAGGGCAGAGGGCCCTGGAAAGTCTCCTGGGAGGCAGCACCGCTAGGGAGGGGGAGGAAAAGTCTCACGTGGTGGTAGATGGGTCAGGGCGTGACACTGCCAGCCCTGTGGCACTGGTGGAGTGGTCTTCCCATGGGCTGAGGCCCCTGGCCATTTTGCCTTCCTCTCAGCGCTCCCCTGGGCCTCCTGAGAGCTGCGTCCAGGGCTGCCTTATAGCTGGTGGCCACAGGTAGGTGGGATGTGCCAGCTCCATCTCCTTGGCCAGAACCAGAGCTTCTCACAGCTTTTCTTAAAAGCTAAACGAAAGCTATCAGGAGCTGGCGATAAATTCCCTCTCTGGGCCTAACTGCAGATGTAGGGTTCTGATGTCAGAGGTCACTGGGAAAGAGAGAGAGGAAGGGACTCCCCACAGAGAAGCTTCAGCAAAGCCAGGTACAGGCCCTCCGCTGCCTTGCGTGCAGCTGGCAGTGGGCTTACAGCCCTCCCTCCTCTTTCCCTGCCCCAGATTAGCTCTTGGGAGCCCTGTCTCTGCCTCATGAGCCCCCACGCTGGCTTCTGGGTCAAGCCTTGCAGGGACCCAGCCTCCTCCCCAGGGACAATATCAGCAGAGTCAGAAATGGACAGAACTGGGCCTTCCTGCACGGCCCTGGCCATGGCCTGCCTGGTGAAGTCTGTGCAGGAGCTGGGCTATGACCGCGGCTGGCCAGGGGAGCCAGGAAGACAGCCCTCAGCGTGTCTGGGCCCCAGGAGACTGGAGCCTGGCTGGGATGTGGCTGGCAGGAAGGGTGAGGCTGCCCCATCTGCCATCTCCATGAAAGCAGGAGATGCCACACACCAGGAAGGGACTTTGTGATTGGAAATAAGCTTCGGCCAGGGATGCGCTGATGGAGGGTAATGACCTTGTGGACATACATGCCTGCAGGTCCATCGCTTCTGCTGTGGGGCCTCCTGGCCTCACTACTAGAGAATGGGGAGCCTGTGGTCCTGGGGACCCAGCCCTGACCTCTGATGGGTGGCCTCACCCCTGGGTCTGGAAACCTATGCAGACGAGACAGTAGAAAGGTGTCATCGTCCAAAACTCAGGCTGTTCACCGTCTCTGGAGAAGGTGGCGGAAGAACTCCAGGACAGGGTGCGGTCAGAGGATGGGTCCTCCCCTGGCCGACCCTTCACCTCTTTGTATTTTCTCTGGGCCCCACGGTCTTCTCAGCCCGTGCCCGTGTGCCCTTCAGTGGGGCCAGTCCTGATGTGTGTGAGACGCAAGGGCACCGCGGTGTGGTTGGCTTTCAGCAGGGAAGGCCAGGGCTCTAGTGGAGACCAGGGCAGACCTGGGTGCCCATCCCCTCGGCAGGCTGCTGGGGCCGCACCATCACGGGAAACATTCTGGGACGCTGAGACTGTCCCAGCGGCAGCCAGCTCCTCAGGCTAGCACACACCCCTGTGTTCTGCAGGCCACCAGTTCAGGTTCCATACTGTGGGCGGCAAGTGGGACTCGGGGAACCCCGCCAGCAACCTCTCCACGGTGGCCGTCATGCCAGTGTCGGAGGACGTGCCCCTCACCGCCTTCACCCTGGAACTCAAGCATGCCCTCAGCGCTATCGGTAAGCCCTGCCCAAGGCCCCCTGAGGCCCTTCCCCTGGACCCCCTCCTCCTCTCGCCTCTCATTCTTCTCCTGAAAGAGCACTCAGCGTGGCCTGCAAGGCTGATAACCCTGGGTGGGGGTGGGGGGTGCAGTGCTGGGGAGGGGACCATCACAGTGAGACGGAGCCTCCGGACAGTCTTGATGGGGAGACCCGACACCACAGGAGCTGGCGTGCGGCACAGTGCGCTCCTCCCACTGAACCCACAGAGGCTTCTGAGCCCCCAGCAGAAGCCCATCTTAGGGTGGCTGCCTGCAGCCGCTCCAGCACTTGGACAGAACGCTGCAGCGGCTGGGGGAGCTGGCTGACAATGTGGGAACACCCCCAGTTATGGTCAGTCAGCTGAGGTCATGCTTCCGAGCTCCTGACAGCTGTGAAGTTTTGGGGCTCAAGAATAAACTGAAATTCTGGAGAATTCTTAGGAATCCTCCAAATTATAAAGCATTCCATATTCTTAACACTTATATGTTTTTATATAATTATGAGTGATCATAGTAATAGACAACAAGTCAATTTTCTGAGACAGGGCTATTTTATTTTATTTCTATTTATTTATTTTTTTGACAGGGCTATTTTAATAGCTTCAAGGGGTAATAGAAGGTGTTGAATAAATGCCAAACAAAAATGATTTACAAAATTGAGCTACTCTTATAAATATTCAATATTTAAAAGTTATTCTCCAAGTGAAAATTTAAATCACAGAAAGCATTAATTTCCATTAGTCTTGGTCTGTTTTGTAACAAATGTTCTGGACCTGGAAACCTCCATTCGTTTTCAGTGAGGTTGGTCAGACTGTCCAGGGCACATCAAAAGACCTGCGGTGGTACAGTGCAGATGTGCTGATTCATAATAATAGCTTGTTCCTTTTAAAAAAAAAAAAAAACTTTTATTTTGAAATAATTACAGATTCATAGCAAGTTGTAAAAATAGTAAAGAGAGAGCCATATGCCAGCCCCCACCCCTGGTTATGTAACCACAGCACAGCATCCAGACCAGGAAATTGGTGTCCGTGCGGTGCACTCACGGGACTGCACGTGTGTCCGTGTGAATTTCTATTTCTGTGAGAAACTGGGGGTCATGACAGGGACTGGACTGAACAGTTGGTGGCGTTGGGTGGCAGTGATGTCCCAGCAGTGTGAGGAGGAAGCAGCCTCCTGCCTCATTCCTGGTCTTGGGGAAAAGCTCTCAGTCTTTTGTCTTTGAGTAGGGTGTTAGCTGTCAGGTTCTCATGGATGGCCTCTAATACGTTAGGAAGGTTTCTTTCATTTCATATTTGTTGAGAGTTTATATCATAAAAAGATGTTAAATTTTGTCAGTGCTTTTTCTGCATCAATTGTTCTGTTAATGTGATTTATTACACTGATTGATATTCATGAATTGAGTCATTCTTGCACTCCAGGAATAAATCCCACTTGGTCTGGTGTGTAATCCTTTTACTACCCCGCTGAGTTTGGTCAGCTTCTCTTTCATGGAGGATTTTGCACTGTCAGGGTTGCTTGTCTGTAGTTTCTTGTGGTATCTTGGTCCCACTGTGACTTTGGTAAGGGGGTACTGGTGCTAGCCCCATGGAATGAGTCAGGAAGTGTTCCCTCAGAGTCAATATTTTGGAAGACTTTGAGGAGGACTGGTATTAATTTTTCTTTAACTCTTTGGTAGAGGATTTTCCCTGGTGGTCCACTGGTTAAGAATCAGCCTGCCAATGCAGGGGTGACAGGTTCCTCCCTGGTCCGGGAAGATTGCACGTGCTGCAAGGCAGCTCAGTCCATGCGCCACAACTACCAAGCCCAGTGCTTGGACCTCAGTGCTGCAGCTACTCCAGGCTGCATTCCCATGGAGCCCATGCTGCACAACAAGGGAAGCCTGTGCCCCACAACCAGAGAGTGGCCCCTGCCTGCCGCAGCTGGAGAAAGCCTGTTCCCAGGAGCACAGCCCCAGTGCAGCTCTGGGCCTGCGTTTAGTCTGAGGTTCTTCTGGTTACTTAGGCACAAAGCCAGCTGCTGATCAGAGATCTTTCTTCCTCAGAGGAGGCATTTAGAGTTATACTTCCCTCCTAGCAGGGCTTTCGCTGTGTCCTGTACATTCTGGAATGTTGTGCTTTTGTTTTCATTTGTCTCAAGATATCTCCTCATTTCTTTGTGATTTCTTTGACTCATTGGTTGTTTAAGCATTTAATTTCCATATATTTGTGAATTTTCCACTTTCATACCATTGTGATCAAAAAGATACTTTATGTAAATCCAGTCTTTACCTGCATCCTGAGGAACTTCTATGCAGCTCAAGAAGCAACAGTTAGAAGAACTGGATGTGGAACAACTGACTGCTTCAAAATTGGGAAGGAGTGAGTCAAGGCTGTGTATTCTCACCCTGCTTATTTAACTTATATGCAGAATACATCATGTGAAATGCCAGGCTGGATGAACCACAAGCTGAAATCAAGATTGCTGGGAGAAATATCAACAAACTCAGATATGCAGATGATACCACTCTAATGGCAGAAAGTGAAGAGGAACTAAAGAGCCTCTTGATAAGGGTGAAAGAGGAGAGTGAAAAAGCTGGCTGAAAAGTCAGTATTCAAAAAACTAAGATCATGGCATATGATTCCATCACTTCACGGCAAATAAATGGGGGAAAAGTGGAAACACTGACAGACTTTAGTTTCTTGGGCTCTAAAATCCCTGCAGATGGTGACTGTAGCCATGAAATTGAAAGACGCTTGCTCCTTGGAAGAAAAGCTATGACAAACATAGACAGCATGTTAAAAAGCAGAGACATTACTTTTCTGAGAAAGATTCGTCTAGGCCGAGCTATGGTTTTTCCAGTAGTCATGTATGGATGTGAGAGTTGGACCATGAAGAAAGCTGAACGCCCAAGAATTGATGCTTTCAAATTGTGATGCTGGAGAAGACCCTTGAGAGTCCCTTGGACTGCAAGGAGATCAAACCAGTCAAACCTAAAGGAAATGAGCCCTGACTATTCACTGGAAGGACTGGTGTTGAAGCTCTAATACTTTGACCACCTGATGGGAAGAGCGAACTCACTGGAAAAGACCCTGATGCTGGGAAAGATTGAAGGCAGGAAGAGAAGGGGGCGACAGAGGATGAGATGGTTGGATGGAATCACCGGCTCAATGGGCATGAGTTTGAGCAAACTCCAGGAGAGACTGAAAGATGGGGAAGCCTGCCTGACATGCTGCAACCCATGGAACTGCAAAGAATTGGACCCAACTTAGTGACTGAACGACAATAGAAGACCTGCGGCCCGGCACACAGTCTCTTCTGGAGGAGAGGGGGCGTGTGCTGTGCTGTGCTGCTGGGCATCTGTGACTATGAGGCAGTGTCCCGTCTAGCTTGCATCTGCATTTCCCAGCAGCTGAAAAGTCTGTCTTGTGGCTGCTGGGATGCCTTCTTCTGAGTGCCTGTCAAGTTGCCCACTGTTTGGTGGGGCTGTTATCTTTTCCTTGTCAATGGGCAGTCTGGATACAGTTGCTTTTTTCAGATGAAAATGCAGATATCTTTCCCTCTGTGGCTTGCTTTTTTATTCTTTTAATGATGCCTTTTGACAAATCTTCCTAGGTGGTACCAGTGGTAAAGAATCCACCTGCAATGCAGGAGACACAAGAGACACATATTCCAACCCTGGGTCAGGAAGATCCTCTGGAGAAGGAAATGGCAACCTGCTCCAGTATTCTTGCTTGGAGAATCCCATGGACTGATGGGCTATCGTCCATGGGGTTGCAAAGAGTTGGACATGACAGCACACATCTAGTTCACTGACTTTGACAAATGCAAGTTGTTAATTCTAATATGGACCAATATATTTATCATTTTTTTCCTATATTGTTACTGATTTTTGCATTTTATTGAATAAATTTCATCCTATCCCCAAGTCATGAAGAGGTTCTTTTAAAAATGTTATGGTATTACCTGTCAAGTTTACGACCCGTTGGGGATTGGTTTTGATTATGAAATGAATAGAGTCAGGATGCATTCTTCTGTAGGCTCCTCCGCTGACCCAGAGCCCTTGCTCAGAACCACTGGACCCTGCCCTGAGGGCTCCTTTGCTGAAAGGTGATCACGTCTGTGAAGGGTGTTTGTAGAGAGAGGATCCAGGCCGATGGCCTTGTCTTCCAGCTTCAGGGTGTCAGCCACTTCCTCTGGCTTCCGCAGTTTGGAGGAGAGGCTGTGTAACAGCCAGGCTGACAGTGACTCTCCAGGCCTGGGCAGCCCCCACAGAGCCAACTCGGAGTACCTGGCAGTCACCCTGTATCCATGCACTACTCTGGTCCTGTCCATGGCCTGGGCCTTAGGCACACCCCTCCCAGGCACAAGCGGGTCACCACATTCCTAACTGGCCAGGGCTGTAGCCAACGCCTTGAGAGCCCAGAGCACTCCTAGGGGCTGCACATTTTCCCGAGGGCCTCCTCAGAACCCTCGGGTCCAGGCAGAGGCCTAGAGCAGCTGTGCGTCAAGGGTCAGAGAGAGCCCGGCCCCCAGGGCCTCAGGCGGGGCTCCTCCGTGCTCCCGCAGCAGGCACGGCCTGCCTGTCCCGCCTCGTCCTCGACTTCCAAGAGGTGAACAAAACTAGTCACCGCAGTGCCCAGGAGTGCCCACCCTCGCAGGCTGAGAGCCCCTCCAGCCCTGAGAGGGCTCCCTCTCTGTCAGACCCTTGTGGGTGCCCGACCCTCAGAGCAGGAGTGCAGCCTTAGTGTGACCAGCGCCGTCCGTCCCGACCCCCAGAGGAGTTGCTCCCCCACTTCCACAGGCTGCTGCCTTTGAGTCAGAGCTGCTCCCCCACAGGTCAGACCAGTGGCCACCTCACAGGCACCACCCTGTGGTTCAACTCACTCACTTAGTCGTGTCTGACTCTGCGGCCCCGTGAACTGCAGCACGCCAGGCCTCCCTGCCCATCACCAACTCCTGAAGCTTGCTCAAACTCATGTCCATCGAGTTGGTGATGCCCTCTGTCCTCCCCTTCTCCTCCCACCTTCAGTCTTTCCCAGCATCAGGGTCTTTTCCAATGAGTCAGTTCTTCACATCAGGTGGCCAAAGTACTGGAGTTTCAGCTTCAGCATCAGTCCCTCCAATGAAGAGTCAGGACTGATTTCCTTTAGGATTGACTGGTTGCATCTCCTTGCTGTCCAAGGGACTCAAGAGTCTTCTCTAGCACCACAGTTAAAAAGCATCAATTCTTTGGCACTCAGCTTTCTTTATGGTCCAACTCTCACATCCATACATGACTACTAGAAAAACCATAGCTTTGACTAGACGAATCTTTGTCAGAAAAGTGATGTCTCTGCTTTTTATGGTCATAACTTTTCTTCCAAGGAGCAAGTGTCTTAATTTCATGACAGCGGTCACCATCTCCAGTGATTTTGGAGCCCAAGAAAATAAAATCTGTCACTGATGCCATTGTTTCCCCATCTGTTTGCCATGAAGTGATGGAACTGGATGCCATGATCTTAGTTTTTTGAATATTGACTTTTAAGCCAGCTTTTTCACTCTCCTCTTTCACTTTCATCAAGAGGCTCTTTAGTTCTTCTTCACTTTCTGCCATAAGGGTGGTGTCATCTGCATATCTGAAGTTATTGATATTTCTCCCAACAATCTTAATTCCAGCTTGTGCTTCATCCAACCCAGCATTTTGCATGATGTACTCTGCATGTAAGTTAAATAAGCAAAGTGACAATATACAGCCTTGATGTACTCCTTCCCCAATTTGGAACCAGTCCATCGTTCCATGTCCAGTTCTAACTATTGCTTCTTGACCTGCATGCAGATTTCTCAGGAGGCAAGTAAGGTGGTCTGGTATTCCCATCTCTTTAAGAATGTTCCAGTTTGTTGTGATCCACACAGTCAAAGTGTTTGGCATAGTTAAAGCAGTAGTAGGTGTTTTTCTGGAATTCTCTTGCTTTTTCTACATTCCAATGGATGATGGCAATTTAATCTCTGGTTCCTCTGCCTTTTCTAAATCCAGCTTGAACATCTGGAAGTTCTCAGTTCATGTACTGGCTTGGAGAATTTTGAGCATTTCTTTGCTAGTGTGTGAGATGAGTGCAATTGTGCGGTAGTTTGAGCAGTCTTTGGCATTGCCTTTCTTTGGGATTGAAATGAAAACTGACCCTTTTCAGTCCTGTGGCCACTACTGAGTTTTCCAAATTTCCTGGCATATTGAGTGCAGCACTCTCACAGCATCACCTTTTAGGACTTGAAATAGCTCAGCTGGAATTCTATCACCTCCACTAGCTTTGTTTGTAGTGATGCTTCCTAAGGCCCACTTGAATTCGCACTCCAGGATGTCTGGCTCTAGGCAAGTATTCCACTGTGTGGAACACGTCCTTATTCTATATGCTGTCAAGAAAGCAGACACTTCCAGTTAAGCACAGGTAGTGATCTCCTGTCTCTCCCCTTCTAATTGTAAACCCTCGGGGAAGTCCGCACGCCAGTGCAGGGGAAGCCTGGGCTGCTCTTGCTGCAGCGGGACTTCTTCATCCTCGGGGCGGCCCAGCAGCCTTCCCGGCCCTGAGGGCCACTGTCTCTCAGCTTTTGTCCCCACCCCTGGCAGCCCTCCTGGTTGGGCAGATGCGTCTGTGCGGATAGTAGCTCCCTCCTCCAACAGCTCTTCCTGACCCAGGAGTCGAACTGGGGTCTCCCCTTCATTGCATGCGGGTTCTTTACTAGCTGAGCTATCAGGGAAGCCCAAAGCGAAAGTCACTCAGTTGTGTCCAGCTCTTTGCAACTCCATGGACTGTACAGTCCATGGAATTCTCCAGGCCAGAATAATGGAGTGCGTAGCTGTTCCCTTCTCCAGGAGATCTTCCCAACCCAGGGATCGAACCCAGGTCTCCCACATTGTAGGTGAATTATTTACCATCTGAGGCACGCTGTAGATGGAAGAACAAGCTGACCCCAGAGACACAGCATGTGAAAGCATGCATCTCCATCCTGATAAACCACATCTGCTGGAATCCAGCCAGCCGCTGACTTGGGTTGGGGAAGTTGTCTGGTCTCGCATTTTATAAGCTTGTGCTTCCCCTGCCCCCAACACACACACAGTCTCAGAGCTGCAGAAATTCAAGCCCAGTGCGTACAGAGGAGGCGAGGGGTTCAGAGAGGCTGCCCGTCCCTGCACCTGGCGCAGCCCTTCCCGTGGCACACCGCGGGCTCCCCTGCCCGGAGGGTCTCCTTCAGGGCCACAGGCACTTCCTCGAGAGCTGTGAGAGGTGTACTGCTTTCCCAAAAAGCAGATTACAGAAGGAAGGGCCTCGCCTATCCTCCAAGGTGGGCTGCCCACAGTTTTCTGCATCTGGTGGTTGTTTTTAGGCCCTGCCCTGCTGCTGACCAGTGACAGCATAAAACAGCGCCTTGGCTCTGCTGCTCTGGACAGGTACGCGGCCTCCACATGGGAACAGCCTGGCCAAGCCCGGCTTCCTGCTCTCAGGGGGACCCTGCCCGGCCACGAAACACAACAGGGTGTCTGTGCCTTCCAGTATCCACGAGTACCGGCTGTCCAGCTGGCTGGGGCAACAGGAGGACATCCATCGGATCGTGCTCTACCAGGCGGACAGCACGCTCACGCCCTGGACCCAGTGCTGCATCCGGCAAGCGGACTGCATCCTCGTCGTGGGCCTGGGCGAGCAGGAGCCCACTGTTGGCGAGGTGAGCTGGCTGCGGGGGTAGTGGGCGGGGCTTCGGCGGGTGGGGCCGGGTAGTGGGCGTGGTCTTTCGGCAGCGGACTGGGCAGGTCCTGGCTAGCGTGACCGGCTCTTTTCTCAGACCCGGTTTGTCTTCCTTTCAATGAAGTATTTCAAGAACTCAGGAAGGGATGAATAGTAAGAACAAACACCCAGACGTTTGCGCTCCACATTTTGAAAACATTTTGCTGTTTTTACCTCTGGCGTTGTTTTAGCAGGAGCAGGCGGATATCTTTGGTTTTTCCAATATCACGTATGGATGTGAGAGTTGGACTATAAAGAAAGCTGAGTGCCGAAGAATTGATGCTTTTGAACTGTGGTGCAGAAGAAGACTCTTGCTAGTCCCTTGGAAAGCAAGGAGATCAACCAGTCAATCCTAAAGGAAATCAGTCCTGACTATTCATTGGAAGGACTGATGCTGAAGCTGAAACTCCAGTACTTTGGCCACCTGATGTAAAGAACTGACTCATTGGAAAAGACCTTGATGCTGGGAAAGATTGAAGGTGGGAGGAGAAGGGGACGACAGAGGATGAGATGGCTGGATGGGATCACCGACCAATGGACATGAGTTTGAGTGAGCTCTGGGAATTGCTGAGGGACAGGGAGGCTTAGCGTGCTGCAGTTCATGGGGTCACAAAGAGTCGGACATGACTGAGCAACTGAACTGAACTGAGGCAGATACCATGAAGTAGCCAGTAGCCCACCCCCGAGGTGGTCTCTTGTAAAGCCAGAGTCTCATTTTACTATGTGTGTATGTGGCACTGTTTTTTATGTAAATAGTGTTCTACTTTATACGATCTTTGTTGGTTTGTTGTTCAGTCACTAAGTTTTTTGTTCAGTCACTAAATTGAATCAGACCCTTTGCAACCCCATGGACTGCAGCATGCCAGGCTTCCCCGCCCTTTGGTGTCTCCCGGAGTTTGCTCAAATTCATGTCCATTGAGTTGGTGATGCTATCTAACCATCTCACCATACGCTACCTCCTTGTCCTTTTGCCATCAATCTTTCCCAGCATCAGGGTCTTTTCCAGTGAGTTGGCTTTTCCATCAGGTGGCCAAAGTATTGGAGCTTCAACTTCAGCAACTGTCCTTCTAATGAATATTTAGGGTTGATTTCCTCTATGACTGATTAGTTTGATCTCCTTGCAGTTCAAAGAACTCTCAAGAGTCTTCTCCAGCACCACAATTTGAAAGCATCAGTTATTCGGCACTCAGCCTTCTTTATGGTCCAGCTCTCACATCCATATGTGACTACTGGAAAAACCATAACTTTGACTATATGGAGCTTTGTTGGCAAAGTGATCTCTCTGCTTTTTAATACATTGCCTAGGTTTGTCATAGCTTTATTTCCAAGGAGCAAGAGTCATTTAATTTCATGGCTGCAGTCACTGTCTGCAGTGATTTTGGAGCCTAAGAAAATAAAATCTGTCACTGCTTCTAGTTTTTCCCTTTCTGTTTGCCACGAAATGATGGGACTGGATGCCATGATCTTAGTTTTTTTTAATATTGAGTTTCAAACCAACTTTTTCACTCTCTTTCACCCTCATCAAGAGGCTCTTTAGTTCCTCTTCACTTTCTGCCATTAGAGTGGTATCATCTGCATATCTGAGGCTGTTGATATTTCTCCTGGAAATCTTGATTCCAGCTTGTGATTCATCCAGTCCAGCATTTTGCAAGATGTACTCTGCATATGGGCTTCCCCAGTGGCTCAGAGGTAAAGAGTTCGCCTGCAATGCAGGAGCTACGGGTTTGATCCCTAGGTCGGGAAGATCCCCTGAAGAAGGGCATTGCAACCCACTCTAGTATTCCTGCCTGGAGAATCCCATGGACAGAGGAGCCTAGTGGGCTACAGTCCTTGGGATCACAGAGAGTCAGACACGACTAAAGGGGCTTAGCAAGCCCACGTGCACTCTGCACACAAACTAGATAAGCAAGGCGACAGCACACAGCCTTGTTATATTCCTTTCCCAATTTGGAGCCAGTCAGTTGTTCCATGTAAGGTTCTAACTGTTGTTTTTTGACCTACAGACTGGTTTCTCAGAATGCAAGTAAGGTGGTCTGGTTTTCCCATGTCTTTAAGAATCTTCCACAGCTTGTTGTGATCCACACCATTAAAGGCTTTAGTGTAGTCAATGAAGCAGAAATAGATGAAGCAGAAATTCTCGGGAATTTCCTTGCTTTTTCTATGATCCAACGGATGTTGGCAGTTTGATCTCTAGTTCCTCTGTCTTTTCTAAATCCAGCTTATACATCTGGAAGTTCTCAGTTCACATACTGCTGAAGCCTATACCATCTTGAAATTTCCTTTTTTCCTCAATGCTTACACTTCTGAGTTTTATCCATATTGTTTTACTCGTCTTATGGCTGTTTAGTTTCTATTTGTGAATGCCCCGCCATCTGTCTGTTCTGTCAGCGGACTGTGAAATTTCCTTACTACACGTGTGTGCAAGGGTGTCCTCAGGGCACCACCTAGAAAAGCTGCTGAGCCAGAGGCTGTGTCTTGAGGTTCACAGAGCTGCCGGACCCCACTGCAGTCAGCTGTGCTTCTGGGCAAGGCCTGGGGCTCCGTGCTCGTTGCCCTGCACCCAAAGTCCCACATCTCCAGCTTCCTGGGTGTCAAGCGGAATCTTTGTCTCTTTGCTTTGTGTCCGTCCTCTGTCCGCATCTCACGTTCCGCCCCGTCCTGGGTCAGCTACAAACTCGTCATCTCTGCTGCGGGTTCCAGTTGTGCCAGGAGCGGTGCCCCTTTGCCGAAGAAGGTTGCAGCGTGTGTTCACGAGGCCATGTTAGAGAAGCAGAGGGCGGTGCCCTCCCTGCCTGCAGGCCCCCACAGCTCGGTGGGCATGCAGCCGCAACCCCTGGGGCCTGGCTTCACAGAGGAAGGGCCCAGCGCACTGCAGCTGGGCCGGTGCCGCGACCCTTGTGGGCTGGTGGGCGAGGCGGCGTCCAGCCTGGGGCCGCCGTGGGCTGGGGCTCTGCGGGGCTGGCTGACTCATGGCTCCGCTTGCCCTCAGCTGGAGCGGATGCTGGAGACCTCCGCCGCGCGTGCCCAGAAGCAGCTGGTGCTGCTGCACCGGCAGGACGGGCCCGCGCCAGCCCGCACCGTGGACTGGCTCAACATGCGGGGCTGGTGCTCCGGCCACCTGCACCTCTGCTGCCCTCGCCGAGTCTTCTCCAGGAGGAGCCTGCCCAAGCTGGTGAGCTGGGACGCCGGGGCCCCAGGGCCTGCTTCCTGCCCTCCCTCCACCTCTGACCCCAGCCCGCGGTGCTGATGGGGCTCTCACTTCTGCCTGAGCCTGGTTATTGGGTGGCGGCACCTCTGATGGAGGAGGCCCCACTGGGGGCCAGAACCGAGCCCTGGGGCCTCAGGTTGTCCCTGCCTCCTCCTTTGGACAGAAAAAGCCACAAATCTTGAGGCACCTCTTCCTCGGGGTCCTCAGCCCTGGAGACTGGGCACGGTCCACAGTGGGAGCAGGGGCCCTTCAGCGCGGTGGACACAGACTGACTACGGTGTCGACGCCCAGACGTCCAGGCCCTGCACACCCTCCACACGGGGTGGTAGGTGTCGGCTGGGCCCAGGGCCGTGGGGGCCCTCCCAGGCGAGCCCAGCACTCAGGTGCTGACGCAGGACCGCCGGCCTGTCCTGGAGGCAGGTTTGGGTCGTGAGTCAGGGAGAGCAGCGGGTCAGGTCGGCCCTGTCTGCTGGCCTCTCTTGTAGGTGGAGCTGTACGAGCGGGTCTGCCAGAGGCCCCCGGACCGGCACTCGGACTTCTCCCGCCTGGCGAGAGTGCTGACCGGCAACGCCATTGCCTTGGTCCTTGGGGGAGGGGGCGCAAGGTGAGTCCCACCTTCCCATGCCCGTCCCTGCATGTGGGTGTGTGGGGGTGTGTGGGAGCGTGGGCAAGAGTGTGTGTACGTGGCTGTGTGTGTGGGCATCTGTGTGTGTGCATGACTGTGGTTGTGTGGGTGCATGGCATGTGTGTGTGTGCATGGGCATGGGTGTGTGTGTGTAGGTGCAAGGGTATGGGTGTGTGTGCATGGGTCCTTGTGTGCTCTGCACGCACAGATGTGGCCCCTCCACAGAGGCCGCAGGAGAGTGTGTCTCTTCCTGGTCGTCTCCTCTTTCCTCTGGCCTTTGGGTGAGCGTCTCTCTGCTTTATGAAACAGGGATCTGCTCTGCTCACGACCCTCTGAAGCAGCCTTTAGCTCCTTGGGCTGGTGGGTGGGTTCCTTTAAGGATGTTGAGCCCAAAGAACTTGAACCCCAGGTTGTTCTGACACTTGCTGCCCTTCTCCTGATGTGTGTTAAAGAGAAATTTACATGTGGGGCAGAAATGGAGCGGCAGGTGTGTGGTGAGGGTGCGACAGGCCCAGGCTGCCAGCTGGAGCAGCGGCGCGCGCAGGGGCAGTGCAGCACCTGTACTGGATCCCTGTTCCCTGAGGGTTGGTCCCAGGGCCGGGGGGCCCTGCAGCCTGGAGCCCAGGCCCCTGGGCATGGTGGACATTCAGGGCACTCCTTGGGCTGGCCGCCTTGTGCTGCTTCCCTGGCGCCGGCCCTGCTCGTGGTGCTGGCCGCCTGTCCCTGGGGCCCAGTGGAGGGGCCTGGCTCACCACCTCCCTTGGCTGGAGGATACTCCTTGCGGAGTGAGCTGGAGGAGAGAGGAGCCCAAAGGGCGGACGCCCCTTAGAGTCACGGTGGGCACCCACCCTGTTCAGCTTCTCCACTCCTCGGCAAATCATAGCTGGATGAGGTCTGAGAAATATGCAGATGAGCCTCAGAACTGCTTGTCTAACTGGACTCAACGCTCCTCGCTTCCCTAGGACTGGAGATGCTGAGGCTCGAAGCTCTGGCCTGAGACCCTCCGGAGAGGGAAACGGGCGGATGCTGGTCCCCCTGGAGTCCCACCCTAACTCCAGCTCCCTCCCTGGTCTCATCTTCCTTCACAGTGCATGTTGCTGCCCCGCTCTGAGGGCTGGCTGGGACGCCTGGGACCGGGGCCTCAGGCTGCTGGGAAGGACCCCACAGGCTGCAGGCATGTGGTGACGCTGGTGCCCCCAGTGTGGCCTGGCCTGGGGTGGGGGCTAGTGAGCACTGTGCCTGTTCATCTTGGGTAATTCAGAGGCATCGTTAGTGCCATGTTTTTACTTGAAAGCTGAGCTAGTGGGCCTGGAAAACCAGGCAATTTGCTCAGAGTTGCCAGGTTAGGAGGGGCACTCAGGTACTTTCTGTGGGCTGGGACAGTGAGGTGCCTGGAGCAGCTGGTCCAGACTTGGACCTGGTTTCCTGCAGCATTTTTAATGAAAATTTAATCAAAGTGGCATTTTTTTGATTAATGCCACTACATTGGCATTAATAAACACTACAGTAAGGCCCTGTAGTGTTTGTGTAACACACAGTGCCTTCCGCCCATCCTGCCTGTCAGCAAATCCAGAGTTGTCCCAAGACAGCATCCTCCAGACAGTCATTTCAGCTGCTCCACAGCTGTTTCCTCACTTACATTCTCTGTTTCATCCCAGAGCATAGTTGATTTACAATACTGGATCAGTTTCAGGTTCATGGGAAAGTGATTCAGTTATACATGCACACACATATATATTCTTTCCCATTGTGGATTATTACAGGACAGTGAGCATAGTTCCTTGTGCTATGCAGTAGGACTTTGTTGTTTGTTTTTGTCTTTTTCATTTTTTTCAGTTCTAAATTATTGAGTTCTAAGCCCACCCAAACATACACAGAGTCAGACTCGGTCCATCTCTGTCATCTGTCCTCTGTCTGCCTCCTCCTCAGCTCAGGGTCCCGGTCAGCCAGTGCGCACTGTTGGCACTGTTAGGATGAGGTGGGGCCTGTCCCAGCGGAGTATGTCTCCCCTGGGGGGATGTAGCTGCCGCTGGCTGCCGCGTGAGCACAGTTCACCCGGTGCCGCTGCAGGTCCCGCCCCGTCTCGGCGCGCCCCGCCCCCTCTCTGCTCTGCGCCCGCGGAGCTCCGCTGTGCCGGGCAGCGGCCTCCTCCTGGGCACATTGCTGAGGCGCTGCCTGTGTCTCCTGTTTCCAGCTCCATTTCTGGGTACTGTGTCTTCCTCTCTCTCGCTGTATTACTGATTCTGTTAGAGTTCATACTCTAGAAATTTCCTTCAGAGCAGATGCCGGGAGCATGCTTAGCAGAGAGTGTGCTGGTTCTGTGCGCACTTGCAGGACAGTCTGGTTGTGGGATTCTGAATGGAAGTGGTTTCCCTGGGAATTCTTTGCATTGTCCATGCAGCCTCTAGGATTGCTGTGAAGTCCGGTGTCATTTTGTTCCCAAGGCCTGTACCCTCTGGGTCTTGCAGGCAAGGCTCTTCATTCTCGTGTTTCTGAGAGCACAGGATGAGGTGCCTGGGCCTCGCAGTCTGAGTTTCTCTGAGAATGTCGGTGCTTGCCTGCCGAGTTCCCTGCCCTGTGCCGGCCTGTGTCTGTCCGGCCATGAGCTCTGTCTGTGTCTCTGTGCCCTGGCTGCGCCTGCAGCGTCGCTGCCTGGACTCTTTGGGCTCCACACGGCGCTGGTCCTCCTGCTGTCAGCGGCCTTTGGGTTGTGTTCTAGGTTTGGTTACTACGCACAGAATGGCTGTCAGCATTTGCACACGAATCTTCCTTGTGCGATAACACCTAGGAGCGGACCACCTCTGCCTGGAGTAGTTGAATATATCCAACCCCCCAGAGGCTGTGAGAGCCTGGGCTGCCCACACTTCTGTCACCCTTGGCCTTGTCAGGGCGAGCATGGCCACACTCCTGGTGCTGCTGGGACCTGGTCTGCACCCCTGAACTCGGGCTCCAGGGCCTCCTTTGCCGCTGGCGTGTCCTCTGCTGTTTTGTTGGAGGGGTTGTGTGTAGCCCGGATACAAGTCTTCTGCCAGATGTGTTTACTACTGATACTGTCTCCAGTCTTTGACTTTTGTTTCCTAGTGGCTGTTCTTGATGAGCTCATTTAACCTGGTGAAGTGGGATTTCCCAGGTTCTTACAGTTTAACCTCTGGGGCTCGGGGGCTCTTGCCGGGACCTTATCTTCTCAAAGCTTGTGCTTCTGGGCCTGCGATCCCCCCACAGCTGCCGCCTCTGAGTGGTGGTGCTCTCGGTGGGTGAGAGTCTTCTCCCTCACATCGCTCCCTCCCTGCTGGGCTGCCACGGCATCCGGCTCAGGGGCCAGCACCTGCCCAGGTGTGGGCCGCGCTGGGGCCTGCTGTCCTGACTGCACCGCACACCGTCTCCCTTGCCCTGGCTCTGCAGGGAGCCTCTGTAGGAAATCATCAGGCAGTACGATTCCTTCACCCTCCCTCTCCTTGAAATTGTTTTGATTTTCCTCATTCCTCTGCACCTCCACGTAAATTTTAGAATCATCCAAGTACTTTATGGGTTTTTGCTATTGTGAATGGTCTGCTTTAAATTTCATTTTAAATTGTCTGTTGCCAATATGTAGAAATAGAAATGATATTTGTAAATATGTTATCTTACAACCTTGGTAAATTCATTTCTTCTATTTCCTTTTTTGTAGTTCTTTTGCATTTTTATATATATAGTTATGTCTTCCAAGAATAAGGATAATACTTCCTCTTTCTTTCCAAAGTACGTACATGCCTTTGCTTCTCTTCCTCGTCTGTTGCACTGGTTAGAGCCTCCCGCAGGTCTGGCCTGCAGCATCAGGACCGCACTCCCTTTAACGGCTGAGTGCCACACAGCTGCTGGTCTCCGAGACGCCCTGTACCAGGCTGAGAGCGCGCCTTCTCTTCTTAGCCGACCGGGGCTTGTTTTTCTGCGTCTGTGGGACTCGGTGACTTACTCCTGTGTTCTGTTGATGTGATGGATCACACCGAGTGACCCTAGCGTCCCCTCCCTGGGACAGGCTCATCGGCCTGTGGCCCTGCCATGCCTGCCAGGCCCTCGGGTCCGCGGGAGGCGTGCTGTGCTTGTCCTCACCTGAAATGCAGGCAGGTTTGTTTGCCGCTGCTTCTGTTGTCTGGAAGGTCTTATTAATGTGGCTTGTGCTATTCTATCTTATATGTTTAGTACAATTCACTAGTAAAATCATCTGGACATGAAATTTTGTGAGGATTCAAGAATTAAAAATCCACTTATTTTGATGTTTATAGGACTATCCAGGTTTTCTACTTCTAGTGTCAGGTCTGGTAAGCTGTGTTATTCATAACTTGTGTTATAAATGTGTTCATTTTATCTGATCTTTCCTACTTAAGGCACAAAGTTACCATTAACTTCTTAACTGGAGCATCTGTACAGATGTCCCCTTTCTCAGTCCTGAGGTTAGTTATGACGACCGCATGTCTCCCCCCCCAACTTCTCTGTCCCTCCCATCCCCACGTCTCTCTCTCCCCTTCTTTTTACTTTTCTGGATCAGTCTTACCAGGAGCTATCAACTAAATTAGTCTTTTCAAAGCACTTACTTGTAGCTTTCAGGGTTCTCTCTATTATATGTTTGTTTTCTGGTTCATTAATTTCTGGTCTTTATTATTTCCTTAATTTTGCTCTCTTCGATTTAAGCTGTTGTTTCTTTCCTGACTAATGGGCCAGCAGACGCCATCTGAGAAGGGCCGGGTGGCAAGGCCGCAACCTCCCAGCCAGCATGGGCAGGCTGCAGCTCTGGCTGCTGCCCCTTGGAGGTAACATGCCTTTTTGTTCTCAGTCTGGTCTAAAGTTTTCTTCACCTTGGGTTTTCAACAGTGTAGGAATGGTTCGCTTTAAATTTACGCTCTGTGTTTAGAATGCTTCTTGAACCCAAGGCCTGATGTCAGTCACCAGTTCTAGACCTCCCCGACCTCCCTGTCTCTTGGTTGTTGCTCTGTCTGCTCCTGGCATCCGTCCCTCCTCCCGCTGCGGTCCTGGGGTCTCTGCTTCTCCCAAGTGGCGTTTCTGGTTGTGTGGTGGATGCCCCGCAGAAGTCGGGAGACAAGCCTCTGCCTGTCCCGGAGCCAGCCCCAGCGCCCCCACAAGGAGGCTGAGCGCCGGCTGCCGCTCAGGAGCGTCGCTGCCCCTGTCCGAGCTGCCACCTTTGCCCCACTTCCCACGACGTGTGCAGGACGTGGGCCCTGAGGGTGGGCAGGACAGGACGGCTGTCCTGGGTTCTGGCGGGCAGAGCGGGCACTGACTTCCTGCTCCTGTCGGTGTAGAGGCTGCGCGCAGGTGGGCATCATCCGGGCCCTGACGGAGTGCGGCATCCCCGTGGACATGATCGGAGGGACGTCCATCGGGGCCTTCATGGGCGCCCTGTACTCGGAGGAACGCAGCTATAGCCAGATCCGCATACGGGCCAAGCAGTGGGCGGAGGTGAGGCCCTGTGGGGGCAGGGCCGGCAGGGGCCTGGGGACGGGCGGCCCCTGCAGGCAACTCTGCAGCGTGGCTGGGGGGGGCAGGGAGGGCACAGCGAGGACTTCGGTGCTGGGGGCGGCGGCTCTGGTGCCTGGTCTTGTGACTGAGCACTGGTTAGCGCACCACAATGCACCGGACTTCCATGCCCATTGGGGCACCAGTGCTGGTAGGCAGGCAGAGGAGGCCTGGGGCTGGAGGTCTGTGTGGCAAGGGCAGGGCAGGGCAGGGCGCACAGCTTGAGGCCTGCCCCTTCCAATAATTCCTGCAGGCTTCGGGGCTGTCCGCTGTTGTCTGGCATCTGGCCCTGAGATATTCAGGCTTGGCGTGTGGGGTAGATAGAGGGGGTTGGGTGTGGACTCTGAAAGGGCTGGGTGGGCCCTGGGCTGTCTGTCTCCCTGGGTGTGTGAGACCCCAAATATCAGAGAGTAAGAAGTACACATTGTTGACACAGTGGGCCCTGTAGTGAATGGGTGCCAGAGGACAGCCCAGAATCTGGGGCCTGAGCAGACAGAGGGACGGCGGGGGAGGGGCGCTTCACCCGCCCTCCTAAGGGTTCTGTCTGTTTTGGGGAGCAGGACTGAGCCCTTGCTGAGACTGTGAGAGGGCTCGGAAGTGGCATTCTCATTTCTAAAAGAAAAGGAGCTGGTCAAGCTCTGTGCAGAAGCTCTCAGAGCAGGCTGTCTGCCCGACGCACTGTCCCCGAAGCTCCTGTTCCTGAGGACAGCTTCGAGGGCAGTGGCCCCAGGGGACAGTGAGGGTCCATCCTCAGTGAGGGCCCAGAGACAGCCGGGCAGGTCTCTCCCTTCTTCACCCTGCTGGTCTGGGGGTGTGGGAACAGCCATGGAACTTCGGGCCTGATATCCTGCCATCCTGAGTGTGTGCTGGGCCACGGGAGTCTGCTGGGCGGCCCCTGCGCGGGTGTTGGGCTGGAACCCGCGGGTCATCCTGCGACCCTGCCTGTGGGCCCGTGGAGGGGCGTGGGGGGCGGTGCTGCGCAGGGGCTGCCTCAGGAGGGAGGGGCTTGTTGGCCACAGAGGACCCCGGGGATGCCAGGCCGTGCTGGGTCCCTGCCCTCCAAGAGCACGTGTGCGCCTTCTGCTCGTCCTGGTCCCCACGTGAGTATGTGGGCACGTGCCCCCCTCCACCTGCAGCCCCCGCCTGAGCTTTCCCCTCCCGGGTCTGTCTGGGGAGGGAGGAGGCCCCTTCCTCTTCACCCTGAGCCCTGAAGGCTCAGGTGCTCCTGGCCCTGTGCTCACAGGCCGAGTTGTCCGGCCTCACTGAGGAGGGTGGGTCTCTGTTCCCCGGTGTCCCGGGGCTTCAGCCATGAGGCCCTCGGCAGGGCCCTGCTTCTGTCGGGGGGATGGAGCGCCTGCCCTGGCAACCAGGCATGGGCAGCAGTGGGCATGCAGCCAGCCCTGGGCCTGGATGGCCTCGTCCCAGCGTGCCCACAGCGGTCCCTCTGAGCGGGCAGCAAGGGCCCAGTCGGTCAAGCTTGCCAGGGGTCAGCGGCTGCTCCCCTGGGACCTCCAGGCCCTGCCACTCTGGCCATGGTGTTTGCTCCCCCAGGCCCTGGGTGCTTCTTGGAGGCCCCCATTCTGGCTTGCAGGAAGCAGGTGTGTCCGTGTGCCCACTCCCTTCTCCTGACGCAGGCTCTTGGTGGTCCCGTGGGGTTGGCTGCTGCCTGTGCCTACAGGCAGGGGTGTGTGCCCCTTCTCCTCCAGGGGCCTCACGTGTGCCCTGTGTGCCCCCCCAGGACATGATGTCGATGGTGAAGACCATGCTGGACCTGACCTACCCCATCACTTCCATGTTCTCGGGGGCTGGCTTCAACAGCAGCATCTCCAGCGTCTTCAAGGACAGGCAGATCGAGGTGCCCCCCCCCCCCACCCAGGGACTGCCCTGGGAGCCCCAGCAGAGTTCACAGTCTCCGCCTGACTGGGTCTGGATGCCCTGGGCCCTGAGAATCAAGGGCTGGTAGCCTGGGTTGGTCCGTCTGAGTCCTGTCCCCTCACAGGACCTGTGGATCCCGTATTTCACCATCACCACGGACATCTCCGCCTCTGCCATGCGGGTCCACACGGATGGTGAGTGCCTCCTCCCAGGGCGCATGTTCCCAGGGGGGGCGGAGTGGCTCCAGGAAAGGGGTGCACCCCAGAGAAGGCAAGGGACTCGAGGAGGTCTGAACAAGATGACTCTGCTGCGGGGCTGAAGGCTGCAGGGTCCCCAGTGGAGACGGGGGCAGAGTGAGGCATGAGGGTCATGGCTGTGTACAGATCGCACTCAGTGTCTGGCACTGCTTGATGGGGATCCCGGGGAAAGCCGACCCATGAGTGGGCAGCTGAGGGCCCTTTTCCAGGCCAGAGTGTTGGGGAGCCTCTTGAAATGAGTCTGGTTGGAAGTGAGTGGGGTGGCAGAGCCGGCAGAAGGTTGTGGCCAGGGGAGATGTGGGGAGGCCCGGAGCAAGTCCGGCCCTGCCAGCTCCCTCTGAGGGGGAGGGTGCCCAGGGAGGGTGTCATCTGCCCGGCCTGGTGCCCTTCCCCAGGCCAGGTGTGCAGGGGGCTCAGGACCTGTCTGGGCGAGGCCCTGAGCTGATGGCGGCGGAAGTCTGCTTTCCTCTCCCGGACTCCTCTGCACACCCTTCCAGGATCGCTGTGGAGGTACGTGCGTGCCAGCATGTCCCTGTCGGGCTACATGCCCCCACTCTGCGACCCCAAAGATGGGCACCTGCTGATGGACGGGGGCTACATCAACAACCTCCCAGGTACTGGGTGGGTGGGGAGGGGTGCCCGCCTGCCTTGACCCCACGGCTCCATGTGCCCGTCGCTGGGGCAGTGCAGGAGGCGCGCAGACACGCTCCTGGCAGATGGCTCCGTTGCCGGCTCCACAGAGCTCAGAGCAAGGACAAGTGGCGGCCGGTGCAATTAGGGCCCATCTGTGCCCACAGCGAGAACTAACAGCCTGCAGGTGTCGGGGCTGCTGTGGGCACGGCCCCTCCTGGGGCACGCCGGTCACCTGTTGGACAGCTCTGCGCTCGCCAGCGCCGGCACAGGCCTCGGTGTGTCAGTGGAGAGGAGACCCGCCCCGCAGGCCCGCGTGCTCCCCCAGCACCTCTCAGGCAGGCTCTGCCCCCACCCCTAGCTCTGCCCCAGCCTCCCCTCAGCTGTGCTCCCACCCAAGGCTCTGCACACCTGTCCCCATTGGTCACCAGGCCACCTCCTCCCCAGCGGATGTGGCCAGGTCAATGGGGGCAAAGGTGGTGATTGCCATCGATGTGGGCAGCCGGGATGAGACAGACCTCACCAACTACGGGGACGCGCTCTCGGGATGGTGGCTCTTGTGGAAGCGCTGGAATCCCTTGGCCACGAAGGTCAAGGTGGGCCCAACCCCGCCTGCCCTGGCCGCTCCTCCCCACGCCCTGGTGCCTACAACCCTGAGACCCTGAGACAGGCAGGGAGGGAGTAGTGCCTTCCAGGCTCTGGGTCCAGCGGGGGGTGGTCCCTGCCTGCCTGGGACCAGCTATGGGGAGGGGGACATGTGTAAAGGCTCCAGACCCCCTGGTGGATGCCTGGCCCCCTCCGCAGGTCCAGCAGAAATAGTCTCCCCATGGGGGAGGGGAGGGGATGGAGGGGCCAGGGAAGAAACAGTGGCTGTGCCCAGACAGAGGCCAGGAGCCACACGGGGACAGGACAGCCACACTTGGTGCTGCCGCCTGGCAGGTGCTGAACATGGCTGAGATCCAGACGCGCCTGGCCTATGTGTGCTGTGTCCGGCAGCTGGAGATGGTGAAGAGCAGTGACTACTGCGAGTACCTGCGCCCCCCAATCGACAGCTATGGCACCCTGGAGTTCAGCAAATTTGATGAGATCTGCGTGAGTGTCCAGGCCAGCTGCACCCCGGGCCCCCCTGCCCTCCCATCCCCATCATGGGGTTCCCCTGTGTGCGCAGGAGGTGGGGTACCAGCATGGCCGGACAGTGTTTGACATCTGGGGTCGCAGCGGTGTGCTGGAGAAGATGCTGCAGGACCGGCAGGGGACAAGCAAGATGAAGGCGTGGGACGTGAGTGCCTGAGCAGGCGGCTCCTCCCCCACCTTGACCCGTCCTCTGGTCCTCACCCTGCGGCACCTCGGCACCTCCGCTCAGCCACTTAGGAGGGCAGGGGGCCCCTGCCCCTCCCAGGGGCCAGAAGGCAGGGGCCTCTTCTGACTCTCCACCTGGGAAGTGCTCATCGGGGGAGGCTGGTGCTCTGGGTGGGGGCTGCTCAGGACTCTGTCCATCATCCATGCCCCCCTCCGACTCGGAGGCTGGGACCACGGAGGGTCACAGAGAGGGCAGGGTGCAGTCAGGAGCAGGTCAGATGTCTTCTTTGCCTCTGCCCCCAGGTCCTCACCTGCCCCAACGCCTCCTTCACGGACCTTGCTGAGATTGTATCACGTATCGAGCCTGCCAAGGTGGCTGCAGGGGACGGTGAGTTGGACCCTGAAACATACACGCCCAACAGCTGGGGGTGGTGGTGGCAACGTCCCCTCCTGACCCTCACTCTAAATAAGTTGCCCTGGGCACCAGGCTCCCTCCAGCAGCCCCTAGGCCTGGTTGGCGCACAGTGGGACCCCTGCCTGTGTGTGGCCCGCCCCTGCTCTCAGGAGGTGACCCACACGGCCCTGCTCTCTGCCCAGATGAGTCTGACTACCAGACTGAGTGCGAGGAGGTGCTGCTGGGCGGCCCCAGGGACGCGTACGTTGACTTCCAGAGTGCCCCAGCCGACCAGGGCTCCGACTCGGTGAGCTGCCTGGACACCCTGTGCTCCTTGGCTGAGCCATGCGCTCTGAGGGCTCCAAAGCAAGGCCAGCTGCTGCCTCCCTGCTGCCCTCCAGGGTTGTTCCCACCTTGACCTTGACCATGTGCTGTTTAATAACAGGAGGATGAGCCCTCGCTTCGGCATCAGCACTGAGGTCTGGCTTCCCCCAAACCACCCAAGGACTCCTCAGCACCCCAGCTCTCTGACCAAGATGGGTAGAAGTTTCCACCCTGAAGCATCCTGAAGCCAGCACCTCCCATGGCTCCATCTCAGAGTGCCTAACTCCTGCAGCTCTTCCAGCCTGCCAGGGAGACCCACTGGGGCCCAGGGTGGACTGTCTCTCTGGGGCCACTGGCCCTGACATCCCCTGCACTTGCAGCAGTCTTCCGGGCTGTGTCAGCCTCTGTGGCCTCTCATGTTGGAGCCCTTGTGTTTCTGCTTTGCCTGTCAATAAAGGTAGATCTGATTATGTGGGACATGTGGTCCCTGTGCCGAGGTCCCTGGGCCAGAGGCCCCACTAAGATGGGCAGCTCACAGTCCTGACCCTGCAGGGTATAGTGTTGCCTGCCTGCCTGCCTGTGAGGTCACCACGTGGGACCCCAGGACCCCAAGCCAGGCAGGCATGGCACCCAAGGTCGGGATGCTGCTGGTATCCTCCCAACCAAGCATGAAGCCCCCTGGAGCTCTCAGGAGTTGTTCCCACTTCGTACACAAGATTCTTCCCTAAGATGAACTGGGCACTTGGCTTTTCAGATCATTAAACAGCGCCAGGGAGTCCTGTTGTACAAGAGAGATCTGTCAGGCCTTTGACTTTGGGGTCCACGGTCCCTGCAGGTCTCTGAGCGGGGCACGTGGGTCTGCGAGCGCAGGGAGCCCCTTGACCAGGCCTGGGACCCTGTGGCCAGGGGACCGCAGGCCTCGGCAGCGCCTAGAGGGCAGAGCTGGTTGGTCCCGCCCCGCGCCTTGGGTCTCCGGCCCCGCCCACTGCCTGTGGGGCGGGCGGGGCCTCGCTGAGCCCCGCCCCGCTCTGACGCAAGGTGGGCGGGGCTTCCAGCTCCCTGACGTCGCGGTGGGCGGAGCGCCACCCCCGGGCCTGGCCGTTCTGTCCGGTGCGGCGGGGCGCGCGGAGGGCCCCGGAGCTGCCATGCGGGTCCCGAGCCCGAGCCCGAGCCCGAGCCCGATCCCAGTCCTCGGCGCGGTGCGGCAACCTCGACGGAGGCGGCGGGCGCGGGGCGCGCTCTGAGGCCTGGGGATGCGCCGCCGCCTCGACCATGGGCGCCGTCGCCTCCCGGAGGAGGGCGCTAAGAAGCGAGGCCATGTCCTCGGTGGCGGCCAAAGTGCGGTGAGTGCGCCGCCCCCGCCCGGCCCGGCCCGCCCGGCCCGCCCGGCCCGCCCGGCCCGGCCCCTGCAGCTCGCGCGCAGCCGGCGCCCGCCCCCGCCCCCGCCCCCGGTCAGCTCCCCTCCCCGCGGTTGCGGTGGGCCGCGTGCCCGACCTCGCGACCCCCACACGCACTGGGCGGCCGGGGCTGGGGGCAGAGCAGACCCTGGCCCCGCCTGCAGGTCCGGCCGAGATGCGCGGGGCACCAGGGTCCCCGGGGCTGCGACCTGCCAGCCCTGGGCGGTCTGAGGTGGCATGGGAGTGCTTGCTGGGGGTGACCCCTGAGCCCTCCCTCGCGGGCGCAGAGGGTGTGGGTGGGGGGTGGGGGCGCCAGGGTGGGTGGTGTGCCCTGACGGCGCACCCCGCTGTCCACCCCCTCAGAGCAGCCCGAGCGTTTGGCGAGTACCTGTCCCAGAGTCACCCCGAAAACCGGAACGGTGCAGGTAGGGGCACGTGAGGCGGTGCCAGGACCCGGTCCACCCATAGCTCCTAATCTCCGGGAGGGTGTGTTGCCCCCTGTCCAGGCAGACACAGCCCTTGCACACTGTGTGGTGTGAGCAGGCAGCTGCCGCCCTGCTGGGCTGGCTTCCTCACGCCCCCTGCCCTCCCTGGCCCAGAGCCCCAGGAGGAGCTGCGAGTCACTCATCACCATGGCACCCACCCAGCCTGGGCCGTTGGCATGGCAACAGGCCTCCTGGCACCCCCCAGGGCTGGCACCACTGTCTCTGGGGGCCAGCTGGTGGGGGGGAGGGGAGAAGTTGGCATTGGGCACACGGGTGCGGTGGCAGGCTGGGAGGTGGCCTGCCTGTCCCTGCCCCCCATCACCCACACGCACAGAAGAGGGGCTTGGGGCCCCGATGGAAGTGAAGTATGAACCTCTGGGGCATGGCACAGCTCAGAAAGCCCTTTTGTGAAGTTGTTAGGGCCCAGGGTTTGGTCAATGGGCCATGCACCCGCTGGGTGTTCATTCCCTGCCTCCAGAGCACCAGGAGATGGGAGGGCAGGACCAGCAGGCTGCAAGCTCACCTGGTGCCTCTCCCCCAGACCACCTGCTGGCTGACGCCTACTCTGGCCACGACGGGTCCCCCGAGATGCAGCCGGCTCCTCAGAACAAGCGCCGCCTCTCCCTCATCTCCAACGGCCGCTATGAGGGCAGCCTTCCGGAGGAGGCTGCCAGCGGGAAGCCGGCCTGTGAGGGCCCCCAGCCCCGCGTGTACACCATCTCAGGGGAGCCGGCCCTGCTGCCCGGCCCGGAGGCCGAGGCCATCGAGCTGGCTGTGGTGAAGGGGCGGCGGCAGGGGGAGCGGCACCCCCACCACCACAGCCAGCCCCTGCGCGCCAGCCCGGGCGGCAGTCACGAGGACGTCGGCAGGCCCTGCCAGAGCTGGGCGGGCAGCCGCCAGGGCTCCAAGGAGTGTCCCGGATGCGCCCAGCTCGCCCCCAGTCCCTCCCCTCAGGCCTTTGGGGTGGACCAGCCGCCTCTGCCTGAGGGTCCCGGCCGCCGCAAGAAGCTGGAGAGGATGTACAGTGTCGACCGAGTGTCTGGTGAGGGGCTGGTTGGGGGCCCGGGCAGCCTCCTCTGCAGCAGCAAGCGCCGGGAGGCCCGGACAGTGCAGGGCGCTTCAGGCACCACCCATAGGTGGCGTCCTGCTGCCACACCCCATGCCAGCCAGGCTTCATGGCTGGCTTCAGGCTTGCCAGCACCAAGTCATGCCAGGCGCGCTTCCCCAGCGAGGGGGCCGAGGGGGCCGGGAGAGTCTTAAGGGCGGAACAGGCAGCAAGGCTGGTTGAATGGAAAGGTGGGGCTGCCTCCTGGGAGTCCTGGGGGACAGTCCCTGCCCTGGTACCCACCCAGTGGTACTCCTGCTCACCAAGGGAGGCACATAGTTGTCGGGGGCCTGGCCAGCTAGTAGAGCCCCCCACCAAGATTGTCGAGCAATGCTCATGGCTGAGGAGTCCTGGAGACCCGCTGTCAGGAAGGGGCTGCCTGGGACATTCAGGTGGCCCCATGCTTCTGGGCTCTAAGCCCGTCATTTCCGGAAGAGCAGAATTCTACCTGGCAGACCCGCCATGTGCTCTCTGGGCACCTCTTGAGCCTCCAAATCAGCAACCCAGCAGGGCATCAGGGCACAGGCCAGGGGTGCGGGCAACTCCAGGCCCTCGTGCTCCTCTGAGGAACACAGGCCAGGTTCTGGGACAGGGTCAGGGAAGAGAGTAGAGTGACCTTAGCTCACCCTGTCTGGGGGCTATAGGGCCCCTGGGAAGGGTCAATCTCCCTGCCTGGTGAGGGCCTCCACCAGGAAGGTCTGGGAGAGGTGAGGGCCAACCAAGTGGACCCCAGAATGTCTGGGTGGCAGAGAAGGCCCTGGAGCCCCAGGAGAGCCTGCAGCCACGGTCCCTGCCCCGCCCCTCCGGCTTGAAGGCTACAAGTCAGTGCTTTTCCTGGGCGCCCTGGAGGCCGGCTGTGCCTTCCGGGGAACACGTGTCTGCTGTGGGCAGCAGGGGGAGAGCCAAGCGAAGACGAGCGTCACGAAGCCGCTGAGCTGTTGCAGCTTGAACAGCTGAGCGGGCCTCGGAACTTGCTGGCCCGGCGCCGGGCCCCCGACCTGGGATGGGTCTAGGGAACCCTGTGCTCAGGAACATCCCCCACCCCGGGCAGGTGGGGAAGGGCTCAGGAACCCCTAAGCCACCCTAGTCACTGCCCCCTTGGCCTCTTCCAGATGACGTCCCCATCCGTACCTGGTTCCCCAAGGAAAACCTCTTCAGTTTCCAGACGGCAACCACAACTATGCAAGCGTGAGTTGTGTCGGCTGTGCACGGGGCCCAGGCCGGGGGCCTCTTCCTGCTGTTCAGGAGCTACGGCCCCCCGTTCCGCCCATTCTGCCTGAGTGCCGGCCTGTAGGAAGGCGGGCCCAGCTGCTCGCACCCCAGCCCACCCCCACCCCGTCCTGTCCCCACTGCCCTGTCCCGTGCGGTGCCTGCAGTCTATCCGTCCCGTCTCATGGGGAGCGGGCGGGGGCTGCAGCTGATGTAGTCACCAGCAGGGGTGCTTCTCCCGGGCTGCCGCCCGGCTCTGCCCTGGTGCACACTCCAAACAGTGGCCTCCTTGCCTTTGCACACACCGCGAGTGATCACAGCTTAGTCCCCTGGGGGGCGTGCTCTTGACCATCATGTGGCTGGGTATTCTGTCGAGGAGTTCCCTCCAGGGAGGCACTCTGCTGCAGTGTCCCCCACTCTGAAGACGCTCCCTGCAAATGACCTTGGGGCGTGCGCTGCCACCCTCAGGCTGGACGGGGGCCACTCTGCTGCGGGTCCCAGCAGGGGCAGGGCACACAGGCCTCTGAGCAGCCTGACCAGCACCTGGTGGCCTGGGTCACCGTGACCTCAGCATCTGCTGCCCTTTCAAAGACTGGCCCGTGGCATAGCTGGCACCCTGGGGTGCCTGTGAGGGGCCCTTCGAGTCAGTGACAAGAAGGAAACTAACCCCAGTGGGGTCAGGTCTGAGGGTCTCTGTTCACTGTGTCTTCTCTCTCATGCTGCCGTTTCCCGCTGCAACTCCAGCATCTCGTAAGTACCATGAGGACCTTGAGCCTGAGGGCATGGTGGTGGTCCCTGGGGAACTCTCCCACCCCCAAGTAGGTCGGGGCAGGCCAGGGACCTGGGCCTTGGCCAGGAGGGCGTGCTGGGTCCCAGTGAGCACTGAGCTTCCCCAGGGCCTGCTGGGAGCTGTGCTGAGGACAGGGCGAGGCAGGCCGGGGCCCTCTGTCTGGCCCAGGGCCCTGGGTGCCTCCGTCCCCACATCTCTGTCCCTCCCGCCTGTGGCCAAGGGCAGTGCTGACTCGTGGCGGTTTCCCAGGGTGTTCAGGGGCTACGCGGAGAGGAAGCGCCGGAAACGGGAGAATGATTCCGCGTCTGTAATCCAGAGGTAGGGCCTGCCAGCCACTCGCCACCAGGGTCTGTCTCTTGTCTGTTCTGGTCTAGCCTGGGCCCCCCCAGTCCAGCGGACCTGATGGGGGAAGGGCGGTGGCGACCACTGGCCTGGCCCTGCTCTGGGGACGCGGCAGGCAGGAGGGATCATGTGGCCTGAGCTCCCAGGCTGAGAGCTGAACTGCAGCCAGCAGGCCCACCCGTGCCTTTCTCGGGCCCTCGAAGCCCAGAGCTGTGGGATCAGCAGGCAGGCTTACCCTCCCAGCCCCCACCTCAGATGTGTCCAGGAAGCTTGACTGTCCGTCTTGCAAGTAGGGCCTTGGCAGGACACAAAGTTTGGGGTTCAAGAGACCTGCCTCTGAGGTGGCCTAGGGACACAACATCAGGGGTGGGGGCATCTGCTGGCCCCAAGCCCGCCTCGCGGTGGGGCCCTCTGTGCTGCCCTGGCCATCGTGCGTGGGAAGCAGGAACCCTTGACCACTTGGGAAGGAGGTTGGGGGTGGTCAGAGTGTGCCTGGGTACACGGAGGGAAGGGAAGGGTGGGCAGCAGGGATAGGAGACCAAGTGCACAGGGTCACCGAGGGCGCTGTCCTGGGAGGAGGGTGGCGGGGGCGACAGGAAGCTTGATGACCTTGCCAGTGTCCCAGCAGCCAGCGGGCGGGAGGGCTCGGGGAGGGGAGGGACCGGGTGGGGTTGGCCTGTGAGAGAGCTGGGGGCACCGGGAGGGCACCCATGACGGAAAGGGGAGGAGTTGGGGATGGGCTGCTCACCCCTCCTGGCGGCCCTCACCAGCACCCCCGTGCTTCCACCCCTAGGAACTTCCGCAAACACCTGCGCATGGTCGGCAGCCGGCGGGTGAAGGCCCAGAGTAAGGCCCAGAGTAAGGCGGACGGGTGGGGGGCGCAGCTTTTGGCCGACTGGGGCTTGGCGTGCTGCTCTCTGCGCCCCCAAGGCGGGTGTCCCCAGCGGGCACCTTCACACACCGAGGGTCCACGCCCAAGGACAGGGCCCTGCCCCTTCACACAGACTCCGCCCGTGACCCCCGGCCCTGCCCGGTCCGCCTTTTGCCCCTCTCCCACCCGTCCCGTTGCAGCGGCATCCTGCACCCTCCAGACCCCACCGGCCCGCGTCCTGCTCGGCCCCCGGTCCCAGCCACCTCGCGTGGCTGCAGGCCGCGTCCCTAACGGGTTCTGCTCTCACTGCAGCGTTCGCCGAGCGGCGCGAGCGGAGCTTCAGCCGGTCCTGGAGCGACCCCACCCCCATGAAAGCCGACACCTCTCACGACTCCCGAGACAGTAGGTGCCAGGCGCCGCAGGCCGGCCCACCTTCCCCAGAGGCTCCCCTAGGCCCCCAGCCCCAGGCTTCCAGCAGCCGGATGGCTAGGCTTCTGCGCTTCCGCTGGACCTCGGTTTATCAGACTGAGGGGGGCGCTCTGACACCTCCAGTCTTCTGGGTAGGGGTAACTAAGGGCCAGGGCTTGCTGTCTACCCTGCCTGGTGCCCCTCACGCCGGAGACCTGCAGTACCTGATTTCTCCTGGGCCCAGACCCCGGGCACGCTGGGCTGGAACTGATACTTGCACCCCGGCTCCCACTGGCCTTGCCCTAGGGCCCATGGCCTTCCCCGCCAGGCGGCCTCCAGCTGGTGGCAGCAGCCGGGCTTGCCCTCAGCTTGGCTCTCTTAACCGCCCTGGTTTTCTTGCTGGCCTGGAGGACCCTCTGGGACATGGCTTGCTGGCTCTGTCCCCTGCCCGTCTCTGGGGTTGCAGCCAGGGCAGGTACTGCAGATGATCCTCAGCCTGGTGGCACGTCCTGCCCTCCAGGTAGTGACTTGCAGAGCTCCCATTGCACCCTGGGCGAGCCTTTCGAGGACCTGGACTGGGAGACTGAGAAGGGCCTGGAGGCTGTAGCCTGCGACACTGAGGGCTTCGTGCCACCCAAGGTCATGGTGAGGCCCGGCGCAGCTACTGCTCAGTGGTGGGGGCGGGGTGGAGGGGCCCTAGGATGGCCGGGGCCCTGAGTGCCTCCCCTGTTGTCTGCAGCTCATCTCCTCCAAAGTGCCCAAAGCCGAGTACATCCCCACCATCATCCGCAGGGACGACCCCGCCATCATCCCCATCCTCTACGTGAGTGCTCCCAGCCCCATCTCCGGTCGGGTGGGGGGTACTGCCCAAGAGGGGCTCTGACCTGGGGTCTTGTCTCCCCCAGGACCACGAGCATGCGACCTTCGAGGACATTCTGGGTATGTGCCCTCTGACCCCTTTGCCTTCTGGTCTCGGGGCTGGAGTTTGGGGAGCACACAGATGGTGGGGGCAGCACTCACACCCCTCCCTCCCCAGAGGAGATAGAGAAGAAGCTGAATATCTACCACAAGGGGGCCAAAATCTGGAAGATGCTGATTTTCTGCCAGGTAGGGCTCAGCCCTTCCTGCTCGGGAGTGGGGCAGGGGTGGAGGATGCCACCTCCAGGGACGTGCACGTTTGCGTCTGCATGTGTTGGGGGAACAGTGGTTGGACACCCCCAGCGTGCAGTCCCATCCCGCTAACCGCAGACTCTCACAGGGTGGCCCAGGACACTTGTACCTGCTCAAAAACAAGGTGGCCACCTTTGCCAAAGTGGAGAAGGAAGAGGACATGATCCAGTGAGCAGGGGGTGCCCCGGGGGCTGGGGTGCGGGGGGCGGTGTCTGCCGCGGTGCCATGTCCCCTCTTACTGGGGGTCGGGCTGGAGGCCGCCTGTGACCACCCCTTCCCCACCAGCTTCTGGAAGCGGTTGAGCCGCTTGATGAGCAAAGTGAACCCTGAGCCGAATGTCATCCACGTCATGGGCTGCTATGTCCTGGGGAACCCCAATGGGGAGAAGGTACAGCACCCCGCTTCTCTGCAGACTCCCTTTTCGTCTCAGCCCTCCCAGAGAGATCACCAGCTGGGGCTTCCTGCTCCCCAGCCCCCGCTTCTGCCCGCCGCTCTCTTGCTCTGCCCTGCACTCAGAGTCCACTCCCTCCTTTCAGCTCTTCCAGAACCTCAGGACCCTCATGACTCCTTACAGGGTAATCTTCGAGTCGCCCCTGGAGCTGTCGGCTCAAGGTGAGCTGGGCTGGCCCGCCGCCGGTGGCGTCCCTGCGGGGGCGGGGGGGCGGGAGGCGGGGGGCGGGGCTGTCCCGGGGGCGGGGGCGGGGCTGTCCCGGGGGCGGGGCGGGGCTGTTCCGGGGGCGGGGCTGAGCGCGCCCTCGCCCCTCCTGCCTCAGGGAAGCAGATGATTGAGACCTACTTTGACTTCCGGCTGTACCGCCTGTGGAAGAGCCGCCAGCACTCGAAGCTGCTGGACTTGGAGGACGTTCTGTGAGGGGCGGGACCGCCGCCCGGCCGCTCCCTCAGACCGGCGCCGGGCTGCCCGGTGCTGCGTGGGTCCCGGTCTTCACGGCCACTTCAGGGCATCTCAGACGTTGCTCAGGTTCCCTCCCAGGGCTCCGGTCCTCACAGCACCGCGGGTCTCAGTGGCCACCGCCCCCGCGCCCCGGAGGAGCCCCCCGCGGCTGGCGGATGCTGCCCGGGCCTCGCCTGGAGGCTCGGTGCTGGGGCGGCGCCTCTGCAGGTTCATAGAAATAAGTGCAATTTTCTACAACCCCTGAGACAATTCAAAGGGAAGCAGCGTTACTAGTTAACTAGTTAAGTGCTACGTTACTAGTCATGGCGTAGATCACCCGGCTCAATGTGTGTCCAGGACCCTCTGCCTCAGCTCCCCAGCCCTGCCGTATCCGATCACCAGCACCAGGGCGGCCCGTCTGCCCGGCCTGGCTCTGTCCCCGGAGGAGTCCCTGATGGTCTGTGCTTGCGCTGCCTTGTGCTCGCCCCTGCCTCCCTGACCTCGGCGCCGCCCTGCGGGGGTGCCCGGGGACAGCGGGGACACGCCTTCCTTTCACTTGGAGGGTGCCCTGGGTCGAGCCAGGCCCTGCCTGCTCCCCGGCCCCCTGTATCCACCCGGCTCCCTGCTGCTGTCCAGCTCAGCTTTTGGCGGCCGAGCTCTGAAGGCCTCTCCCGGTGCAGGGGCCCGGGGTCTTGGCGGGGCCTGCCGGGGCTGGGTCCTGGCAGGTGAGACCCCTGCCGCCTGCTCCATGGTGGCCTGGCCCCCGCAGCCTGGCCCAAGCGAGGGCGGGGCAGCAGCTGGGCTGTGCGCGCAGCCTGCTGTGGCCCAGCGGGCGGGCCCTTGTACATAGCTGGCGCTCGGGGGCTGGCCCCCCTGTGCAGAGTCTGGTCTGAGACACTGGCTGTGTCCCCAGTCGAGGGGAGTGGGGGCTCGTGCCGGGCTCTGAACAATGTACGACACCCCATAGAGTGACCATTAAATCTGACCCTCCGCCGCGGCCACTGCGTGGGTCTCCTCTCTCAGCGCCGTCCTCTGCCTCCCTGGACCCGGAAGATTCCGGGCCTGCTGGTCTGAGCTTGTTGCTGTGGTGGCCGCCTATGCACCCTGGACTGAGGAGCAGGGACTGCTAGGCCTGCCCACCAAGGGCACACTCCTTAAGAGGTCTGGGGAGGAGGCTCCCAGGGCTCTGAGAAAGGCTGTGGGAAAGAGGAGGTCCTGGAGGGGCTGCCGGCGGGCGGGTGGTCTGCAGATGAGGGCAGAGACACTGCGCCCCGCAGCCTCTGCCCCACCCCTGCGCACAGAGCTGAGGGCCACGTGGTCAGCAGTGCGTCCACAACGGGAGGCCAGGAAGTGACCACAGGGCTGGCCCGGCCACCCCCATGTGTGCCCCGTGCCCCCTGCACCCAGGGCCAGGATGTGGTTGGGTCCAGCCAGGCCTGGCTTCCCTGGAGGCTCCTTGTCCAGTTTCCTGTGGGCAGATCAGCAGGTGCCAGGTGGGTTCATCTGGGCTACCAAGGGCTGGGGAGGGTGGGAGGCTGCCCATGGTGGCTCAAGTGAGGGCTGGGAGGCCGGAGGTCCCGGGGACCTAGAGGCTGGCAGCCTGGAAGGGGGTGATGTTGCCAGGAGAACTCACTCTAGATGAAAGTCTGGGCTAGGGGCCAGGCGGATAGCCCTCCAGTGAGACCCGCCCACCTCACCCTGAGCTTAGGAGGCACGATGGCTGTGTCGCCTGCACACCTGACCCAGGGCTGCCAGAAGCTTTGTCACATGCCCCCGCCCCTCTCCCGGCCTCCCACGGGGGATGCTGGAGTCGATCTGGGCTGCTTCAGCAAGTAGGCTTGTCCCACAGTCTTCAGGGTCAGCCTGGTGGATCAAGGCTGGCAGGGTCTGCCCTCGGAAGACTTGAGGTCTTGCGTCTGGTCCACGAGCTTCCCTCCCTCACGCACAGAACCACCAGAAGCGTGATGCGGAGGGGGCGCCAAATCCAGAAGGTACCCAGGAGCAAAGCGGTGTAAACACAGAAAGCATTGTGGGAAAAAAAAGGGAGGGAGGGGGTGGCAGACTTGGAGGCAGGCTGGGTGGAGGGGTGTGAAGCGACCGCAGGTCTGCAGCCTTTGCGCACCCACCTCAGCTGGGAGCAGCCGCCGCCAGGGGGCGCTGGGGAGACGTGCTGGCACCTAGTGGGAGAGGTAAGGGCTCCCCTGGGGGCGCGGTGGGAAAGAGTCTGCCTGCCAGGAGACGTGGGTTTGATCCCTGGGTTGGGAAGATCCCCCGAAGTAGGAAATGGCAACCCACTCCGGCCTTCTTGCCTGGAAAATTCCATGGACAGAGGAGCCTGACAGGCTATATAGTCTGTGGATTGCAGAGTTGAACACGGGTGAGCATCTGAGTGTACATGCACATGAGAGATGAAGGGCCTTCCCATACAAAGGGTTTTTTATATATTAACAAGAAAGAGACACAAGCCAACAGGAAAAGTGAGTGGAGGGCTGAATTGACAACTCACAGAGAAAGAAATCAAATGGCCTTATAAAAAGCCAGTGAAGGGAAAGAGGTGTGTCCTGCCTGTTGGTTTTGCAAACATTTTAAAGGGTCTGAGTCACCCTGTGCTGGTGACTGTGTGGAGAAGAGATCATGTTAATTGCTGTAGACTTCTTGGAAAGCAATCTGACAATAGCTCTTAAAATGTAATTGGTAAACATGGAGCCAGCACCTCCCACTGGGGCCTCCAGCATGGTGTCCATGTGCCACAGCTCATGCTGTTAACGGGGGCCAGCCAGGTCACGTGGACGGCCGCCCCAGAAGAAGCACATCATTCCGAAGTGGTGTGTTGAGGGAGAGGCATGGCTGGGCTTGCAAGAGGCCTGAACGTTTTCCGTTTAAACTGAAGAGGTCAAGCTCACACAGATGGGGTGTGTTCCTCTCACCTCCTGGGACACGTGCCCCTTCTTAATTACCCGGGCAGGCCTGCTGTCCAGTCCTCACCTCCTGGGACAGCATGGGTGGAGGTGGCCCTGGCCTGCCCTCTCTCCCTGCGCCACTCTCTCCAATCCTTGCAGTGTGCACACCCCAGCCTACATGGCCACGCTCACCCCCACACCCCCACACAGAGCCCCCCGCCCGCCTGATGCCCTGCTCTGGATGTGTGCCCCAGGGGACAGAGCCACAGCACATCTTCCTTGTTTAGAACCTTCCATCACCATCAGGATGAAACTCAGACCCACCATCTGCCCTGCTCCCAGAAAGGACATGCTGTGCCAACAACTCCTTTAGTAGGTTTGTGTCCAGAGTCTCACGTGAATTCCCAGGGAGGAGTCAGAGATCAGGATTAGGAAGGCAATCATCAAAGCCACGGTGGGAAGCACCCTGTGTTGGTCCCAGCCCTTGCAGTGGTCACTAGACTGGGCCAGGTCTGTCTGAGAACCAGGAAGACAGTCACGTGGACTAGACATGCTGTGTATATCAGATAGGGCTCAAGGGCTGGGAAGGGAACCGCTGGTGGGGGTGGGAACCAGGGATCTGTAAAGTACAGGAAAACCACCTGCAAAGGTATTTATGAGTCCCTGGCCTTGCTCGCAGGGCTGTGAGGACTGGATCCAACCAGCACCTGCAGCAGCGGCCCAGCCCACTCCCAGACCCACCCTTAGACTGTGGCTGAATCCTCAGCACTCTCCACAGTCCAGAGACAAGACCTCAGTTTCATAGAGGGTACTCGAAACATTACAGACTGGAAGAGCCATAAAGATCTTGACCAGCAGACACAGGCTGCCAGCAGGTGCCAAGGATGAGAAGCCGCGGTGCTGAAATCATCTAACGAAGACTTGGAAGAGCTGTTGTAAAGATGCTCAAATAATAAAACAGCCAGTTGTTACCGGCAACGTGGGTTTATTCGGGAACAGGAAAGAATTGGAATGCAAGACGAGCAAACTAAGGTGAACCACAAGCAAGTGCAGAGAACAAAAGAGAGAAAGCTCTATCATAGAGGAGAAAGGGGGTTGGAAGGGCTGTTCTAAACAGAGAGCCCACTGGAGGAAGCCGGGAGCCGGAAGTGTGGCGGCTTTCCATTGGTCGCACTGTGACGGCCTCTCATTGGCTGAGCTGTTGCCGGGCGGGGAGAAAATCTCCCTCCTGCTTGGGGCGCAGGTCGGCACCTTCCCGCGGGGTCTGCATTCCAGGCTGCGCCGCAGGCCCTCGGGACTTCCCGGGCGGCGCTGGTGGTAGAGAGTCCGCCTTCCGGTGTAGGAGACCTGGGTTTGCTCCCTGGGCGGGAAGATCAAGGTCCCCATCCCGGTTCTCCTGCCTGGAGAGTCCACGGACCGAGAGCGGGCGCCGGTCCGGGGGTCTCCCAAGGGTTGGGCGTGACTGAGACCGACCCTCGGTAGGGCTGAGAGCGCCCCCTTCTGGCTTCGCGTTAAACAAGGTTTCTGCTGACTAATTTTCATGTTTCCCCTCTTTGATGAAGATTTTTCTCTAAAAGCCTTGCTTATCAACACATTTTTAATGGATTCAGTGACTTTTTGTCAGTCAGTGCCAGGGAGGACCTTTCCTGGATATCATGTCCCTCTTGGAAGAGAGATTGGAAAACTCTGGAGGGCACATTCCAGTAACAGGAGGGGTAGGCCAGAGCTCTCAGGGATTTCCCTTCTGAAGTCTGTCTTAGAACAGCGAATGCAGCAAGGACACGCTAGACACAGAGAGAAATAAGCACTTGAGAAGGCACGGCCCAGGAATAAACATGAAGCAATAGCTGATGGACTTTTTCCCCCAAATAGGGAAACTTCAAGGACTTATTTATTTAAACTGAAGTATAGTTGATTTACAATATTAGGTTATCAGAGACTTTTTCATTTGAAAAAGACTTTGTCAGTCACACAGCTTGCAGGTTACAAATCCAGTCCATGAATTTTGATGAGATTGCAGAGTTAGTTAATAGTCCAGATGAAAGAGAGAGATGTGTGTGAATTTGAAACCAGCTAGCA